CCACGTTATATGATGGTTTCCGTTGGAAATTTTCAGACGTTTCTTAATTTTTTAGCGCCGTTTCGTTTTTTTCGCATGTTTGCCGCCATCTCATTACCGGATAGGCTTCCAAATTTATTCCTATCAACGAGAACAGTCGAAACAGTCTCGAACGTTTTCACGTTCATCGTTTTTTTTCTGTTAGCGACTTCTGAAACTCAGTAACGCGCGATAATCGCTTCGAAAACTCCCGTGATCGTACCGCGCGCCCGTCAGTATTTTATTTTTATAGTATCTATACATACTCTATAGCAAATGATGTTCTCAAACTTTCTTTTTAACGCGTACCACTTTTACATGCATTACGGCTTAGGTTAGGTTTGGTAGGTTATGTGACCACTTAAGTTGAAGTCACGAATGAAAATCGAACTGCTCATAATGTCCGTACATCAATTGTTTCAAAATGATAAGGGCATATATGACAGTACATAAATACAATAGTATAATTACAGTTATAAAATTAAAAATATAAAATAGTTGGATATTTATTAATTGATTTTCCGAACAACTTCACCACTCGACCTTCTGCGTACCACAATGAAACTTTTTTAGATGATAGTAGTGGGATAGCTTTTATATCTCGTTTATATTTTAATAGCTGGTTGAAACTATATTATATTATGTAAATATATTTACTCCTCGGACGAATAATGTTACTGGTTGATTAACCTATATTCGTTTAATTTTTGAACGCTTCAAACAGTTTTGTTCAAAACACTTCGTCGTCCTGTCCTGTTTGTAGTAAACGTCGAATAACACAATATTGCATTAAGTAAACGCCCGTACAGCATATACTTACCGAAAAAAAAGTTTGATGCGAAAAGTTCCGACATCTACCGCTATATTTTTAGTTATTTGAAAATCGGATTTACAATTTATTTTTTTTTTTTTTTTGTGATTAGTATCTGTAAAACTGTGTAGGACGTGTTGATTTTTAGTTTATTTCATTAACGGAAATCTTCCTCCGTTCATCCGCTGTAACTCGAATGCTAAAAGTGAGTTTTTGCAAATCGGTGCGTCGAGAAGTTAATTGTATGTTATTTTCCTTGTATATTTCGTGATATAATTATGAAAAACCGGAAAATTTACTGTAAATAACGGGCAATAATTCTTTCTATTTGTTTTTTTTTTTAATTTTTTTTGGTGTAATTCAGTTAGAAATAACCGTGACGTCATGAAATTTTCCCCGAATACTGAATGCACCGGACGCAAGCAATTTTTAAACCTTTCCAACAATTTTCATACCGTTTTTAGCTATATGAAATTGTTGTTTTCTATCCCTTGTTTTTTATCTCATTAACGTTTTAATTCGTCAAAAGTGTTCAATCGTTTGTATTTACAAATTTGTACTTAGCGGTAACAAAAAAAAAAAAAAAAAAAAAAAAAAAAAAACGGATATACTTCTCATAATACTGTTGTAGGTGAAAAATTTGGAAGGTTAAATATAAAGGTGTGTTTAACGTATATCTGTATGCAACGATAATCTTTACTAACGAAAACCGATTTTGATTTAAAGTTCTTAAAAAAAAAAAAAAAAAAAACACTACGTTAAATTCAAATTTTTCTTATTGACCACAGTGTACAACTTATAATGAACTTTCTGTTAAATTTCCAAGCATTTTTTGTTTATGCTAATGATTTCATCTACAGTGTACTCACCAAATAAATATTACGTAAAAAAATCGCAAAATCAGAATGTCTAAATAATAATTAAAAAATGACTGAAATTTATTTAAAATTTTACCGCGCGTAGAAAAGGAAAATATGAGTTTCTGTTTAAATTTCAGATCTCTACGCATATTTTAAATTGAATCACAATGAAAAAACAAAATTGAACATAATTTAAAAGCATTATTTTCGTAAATTCGCCTGTTATTCTTGTTATTTTTTCCTAGTTGTCCTCGTTTTTTATGACCAATGCATGGAAAATCGAAAATTGATTTTTCCAAAGTGCCAACTAAATAAAAATTCCGTTTCAAAAGAGGCGCCGAGCTTGAAAACCAGGGCAAGATTTCTGGTAGAAATTTCGTATATAGTATGAAAAAGGAAAACAAATAAGAAACATCATTGTAAAACCAATACATTCCTCGCTTCTTATAGAATCTAAAATGGAAATTGAGCGTAATGCAGTAGAATTTTTGTATATGGTTTCTAAGTAAATCGAAAATCATAAACATCCTATCTTTTCAAAACAAGTTTACCGGTATTCGTTTCGAATCATTTTCTTTTTCGTCGGTAATAATTTTTCAGATATTGTACTTTATACAAGCCTATCATTCCGGTGTCCCGCCTAACTTTTGGCTGCTTTAACCAAATTAGAATTTTGTAAAAACAACGGGATACTTTCATATAAATTTCGTCTGCGAGTATGCGGACGGATTTGGTTTCGATAATCGCAGTTTGCGTACGCGGAACTGACCCTGGGTAAACGTCGTGAGCCGCAAAAGCCGGGAGAGTTTTCGTCCGCAAAGCGCGTAAAAGACACGGCTCGACGGTAACGAAATAACGGTAAAAAAAACAGCTTCACCCCATATTAACGGTCATCGTTTTATCGTTCCGCTCACCTCACCCCTCACCCCTCCTCCGCCCAATCGCCATCACTGTGAATATATCGCGGCATCGCCAGTTAAACCGATTACGCGAGGTCGGACATTAACTAGTTAAAAAGTAAACTACAGTCGAGTTAACGGCCAGGTAAATTTTAACTTATGCCGTTTGATATTTTTATTATTTTTTAACTTTTAATTCACTTTCACTCCGTCCCTTTTTACGTAGACGAGTTAAATTCTAATTACGTCACGTTATTAATAATTAGTAACGATCGTTCGTGTGGTTCGGGGTTTGAAAAAAGTATAAAAATGTGTCACTCTGTGAAAGCGGTTTGATATTTCCGGAACTATATCGGCTCACGTTTAATTTCGATCAGAAAATATAAGAAAAAAAAAATTTTTTTTTACTCTTTCGGTGGAGTCTTTATAATTAGAAACGTACAGCTGAAAATCTAGTCAAAAAGTCGGTTCGACATTTGACTCGGCCGATCTATCCGATAGCGAAAAATCTTTCGACTTGTGAACGCGTTAACATTCCTCCACATAACCGAACTGTATAATACCGATCGATATTATCCGATGAATCAATCGATGAGCGATGCGTTGCTCGTCGCATTATTATTTTTTAAAGACTGTACGTAAAAATTAACAAAAAAAAAACTAACGAAATTTTAAAAGACCACCGCGATTGTGGTGTTGCGGGTACGCGGTGTATAGAGCAGACGTGATTGCGATTTGCGACGTATGATTTGCGACGAACAAAAAAAAAATCGCGTAACAGTACACGAGTAATACTGCGTCGCAAAGTTAAACAAATATTCAAATTCAAAACAATTTTATTCGAATTTTATGTTTTCGACGTTACGTCTCCACGGAGCTTCGTCAATAGGCTCGGGCTGCCACGACTTGAAATATAAAAAAAAAACGTCGACACGCAAACGTCGGAATGGCGGTTTTTGTTTTTATACGCAAGATACTAAATAATCGATTGATCGCTGACCCAAAATGCTTTGGAACGTACATTTTCGAATCGATTCGACTGATCGCTCCGCGTAAAACACGTTCTCTACGTAAATAAAAAGATGGACATACTTCGCACGACGGGTGGGCTACTGTGTTGTTGGTGGAAAGTTGGGAAGGTATATATAGGATATAGAGAGGACGCAACGATGAACCGTCGCTATCGAAAAACGATTCGGAGCGAAGTTTATTGTTTACGTGTACGTAAGTTTCCCTTTTTTTCCTAATATTTCCCGATTATGATGAAAGCCGTTTGGAAACTAAAAAAAAGTTTTCCTTGTAGTACTATCCGTATACAATTTCCTTTCAGAAAAGGTACTATGTTTGAAAATCGGAGCAACTTTTCTGCAGGTATAAAAGTTGTCAAAAGGAAAGTTTCTCTGAGTGGTACTTTAAGGAGGTTGGTTTTGATTTTCCGAAGGTTGACATAGTAACTGGGGAAAACGGGAAAATATTCGTACGCATATATATAAATGCAGCTAGCTCCGAATCGTTCGTTTCGAATTAACGACGGTTTATCGTGGCGTTCGGATATAAATTAAATTCCCCTTTATATCCAACCTTCCCGACTAGCCATTGACAACAGTGGCCCACCCCTATCGTGCGAAGTATGTAACTTTTTATTTTTTGTAAAAATGACTTTGCAAAAAAAAATATTTTAAATTTCGCGAAGTTTGCTGGGAGATCGAAAATCGAATGTACGGAAATTTACGTACGGTTAGTACGTCTGGACACGTAATTGGTTATTGAGTCTCTAACGTCCAACCGGACGTTTAGCGCAATTCTAATAGTTTTAGATTCCGAACGATGCCAAGACCGCAATGTTACTGACTATACTATGATGCATGTTTTATAATATTTCTTTTCCATTCGTAAATAGAAATCAGTGGGTTTTCATAATAATCGGAAAAAGCCGAGAAAAATGGTTTACTTAAAACCGACAGATATTTATGTGGCTCTACAGGCACAAATAAAGGGGGCTGGGGTGCTTAGCCTCCCCCCTAGATTCGCTATAGCCACCATTCCACAAAAATTAATGATTTTACTACACAATACATTGGTATATCATAAAGTAAAAAATAAGACCGAATAAGGTCATAAACCCTCTTCCAAATGTCAAACATTATTTGCGTTTTGCGTGGCAGCCTTCGTTATTTTACGTCCGCTCGGATGTAACTTCGCTCGAAATCGTTTTTCGTTCGCAATACGTTTTGCAATATTTGTGCATTTCCACCGATATATTATATTCATTATACGTTTTGCCACCTTTGATTCGTATTGACGCGTTATTCGATTTATCAAATTTTCGCGAACCCTCACCGTTATAGTATCATTGTTTTTTTTATTGTAAACGATATTAAAAAAAAAAAAAAAACAAAATGTGATTCTCGTAAATTAAAAATATTATTATCGGATAATTGCACCGCAAAGACGAAAACGTTATAACTTATTATAAGGTTAGGGACTTCTAGCGTTTACGTATTATTTTTGAAAGATTAAAAAAATTATCTGAGCCAAACATAAATACTGTTCACCGTGTACGGGATCTAAACTATACGTTTTGCATATGTTTGCGTGTATTACAGCGTTTTTGCTTTTTAGAGCGTGTTTTAGCATTGTATAGCTTTTGAGCGCTATAAAAAAACGTACGCTCGTGTCTCATCTTATTGCGCTGTGATACTTTTGTCAATTCGCACATTGTTCGAATTCATACGCACTGACATGCGTTAGCACAGACGACTAGACGTTCGTAAAAATAGTTGATTTAGTGAACAATCACTGAGTTTGAGCTGTCAAATTATTCATCCCGAAACCCAAAGTTTGTTTACGTAAATGCCATTAATAATAATGAAAACGATAAAAAAAAATAATAAAGATAAATCAGTTGTATATCACGTCGATTTCATTATTTCGTTAAAACGAATTTTTTCGGGACGTATGTTTTAGGCCATGTCTGATGGAAAGCGTATTTACGTGTTTTTTTTCTTAGCGCTAAAAGTCCCCCGAGCCTTTTCATAATAATTTATTTTCCCGTAGTCTCAGTCATATACAATATCGTAAATAAATCGTTCGTATTGATCACGTTTCGAAACGCGAAATCGTTTAAAAAATGTACCGATCCGACCCTATATAATTGTGGTGGGTTTTTCTTGACAGAAAACTAGTCGAACATTTTAATCGGCGGTGTTTCCCCGTTAATTTTTTCGAAAATATACCGATTTCATGATTACATTCTTTACGGATTGCGCGGCGTTGTTTACGGGAGAAAATTAATTGAAGATAATAAACACAAAATGCTTGACGTGTTTTTAAAAAAAAAAAAAAAGTACATACGTCGTAGAACCGTACGGAAATCGTGAAATTTTCATTTGTAATAACAATCGCCGAATAAACACGATTTTTCCGTTAGCGCTTCGGTTTTAGTTCGTTTCGAACGGTATGGGACCACGGGCATAATATCGTGACGGATATTAATTTTTTTTTGTCAACCGTTCGAAAGTGCATATGCAACACTTGTTATACTGGATGATTTTTCGACAAAATGTCGAGAGTATAAACACCGCCGAGATTACGTTAGACGTGGATTATCGGAATGCCGAAAAAATCGCGTATGTATCACTGATCACGACGAGCGTCGAAAAAAAAAATGTGAAACGAAAACAAAAAAAAAAACCCGCGTGCGAACAATGATGCCGTTAAAACCACTGGTCAATAAGTAACGAAATTTTCCATCCAACGGTCGGCATTTTTATTTACGTCGATTCGATCGTGTGTCGTTCGCGTTTCGCCCGGGCGTCCGTATTTTTACGCGGGATTTTTTTTCGTTTCGCAAATCGAAAAAAAAATAACCGAAAAATAAAAAAAAAAAAACTAAAAACCGCGACTTTAACGCGTGCGAAAATTCGAAAACGCCCGGATACGCGGCCCGGATGACATTTGACCGTGCCATTCGCCGAGCGTTTCGGTTTCGGAATAATGGCGGGAAAACGTACGAGAGCGATCCGGCCGCATAGCGTTGCCGCCGAAATCGCCACTCGAGTTAGTTCGAAATAATACGTCCCCAGACAGAACCGCCCCCCTCCCCCCTCCTCCCTGGGGCACGCCACGTTTTGTCGTGCACGGTCGTCATTACCGATAAACGCGAACCATTGACCACATAACCCGTTTAAACGGACACTCGGAAAACTAAACACAATCGCATTCGCGCGCGTTGCGTTGATAATATTACTACGGTTATTATAATATTATAACATACTCACGTGCGTTTCTCGTTTGAAAAACCGCGCGCGGGAACGGGGCCGACCGGCGTTCGGTGTTCTTGGGCACTTGGTCGCACGCGATCCGCGACGCCGCTGGACTCGCGGGGGGGACACGAGGTTATGTCACGTAAAAATAATATTGTTATTGTTACGATCGTTATCGCTGCAGTAACTCGGGACGACCGCGTAATGCGTTGCGTGCGCTCACTCGTCGGAGCTGTTGGCACGATGACCGCACGGACCACACTACGGCGACAACGCGCGTCTTTCCGGGAGGGTGGCGAACACACGCGTGACGCTGATAGTCGCCCGACGGGTGGCGGCGGCCGTGACGGTCGTATTACTGACTCGGCGGACGCGGACGACCGTACACGAGAGTTCGTACAGGCGATACGCCGGCGGAGACCGACGGCGTCGCGGCGCCGACCGACGGCGGTGGGCGCGCCGGGCCGCAGAAACCGGCGGTGCCGCCGTGGGTCGGCGGCGACGGTGCCGGTGGTGCGTTGGGTCGACGGCAATGGGCCGGCGGCCGCGGAACCGGACGAGGGGTACAGGGTGTGCGTTTGAGTGTGTGTATGTATGTGCGTGTGTGTGTGCGTGCGTATATGTACACGAGTGCGCGGACTTTCCACTGTACGAAAAAGGCGGCGGCGGCGTGCGTATAATAAATATAGCGTTGTCAGAGCGACGGCACGGTGGTGGCGGTGGCGGTGGCCCTTACGATACCCGCGCCGCACACCACCACGGCGGCAACGGCGGTGACGATTGCGACCCGCCACCCCACCGCGCACGCATACGTGCGTGGTGCACGCAATGTACACCGCCACCGGCCGTCCGGACACACCATCCCGCCACCGTGGCCCGGATACTACGGGGGTTTCTTGTGTTGCGCGAGCTTTTGCGCTCGCGGTTCGTGGCGTGCCCGAAAACGTCACCACCCGCCAGATTGGGTGCGCGTCGCACCATTATTGTGCGTAAGTCGGCATACGCGGTACGGCTCGCCGAAAAATGAGGATTCGGTTTATCGTGTCGCGGAGCTGCTTGCGGCCGAGTCGACTTTGCGTGGTGGCGGCGGCCGAGTCGACTTTGCGTGGTGGTGGCGGCGGCCGCGTCGGTAACCGGTAATAAACGAGCGGGCGGCGACTTTGCGAAAACGGTTCCGCGGTTAGTATAATATCGAAACGGTGGCTGCGGCCACTGTATTACACAATCCAGACGCCCGTGCTAAAGGTGTCTCTTTCGGTCGGCGAGGTGGAACGGTCTCACCCCGTGCCGAAAATGCACGTTGTTATAATCAGATATTATAAATACGTGTATATACGTATGCGCGTACCTCTCCGAAATCGCTACGGCGAAACGGTAGGAAGTCGGAGACGCGTACTAATTTTAAAGCCCGGGATTTGAACGCTAGAAAATGACGAAATATTAAAAACGAAAAAACAAAAAGATCGTAAAATAATTTACTTCAGCCGACTTATGAAAACTACTCGAACGGTCTCCTGAATGCACAGACTGAACCAAGATAATAATTAACTTCGCGTTAAGCGTTTGAGCATTTCTGTTTGGTCAAACCTTATGTTATCCACATAGTTCGTACCAGAGATAATTACGTAAAAAAACTAAAAAATGCATCATGCTTATAAATTGCTTAAAATAATTTCAAAACATTTTCAAAATTTTAACACTTCCAGAATAGTCAAATAACAGTTGTCTGTGGAAAATTCTAATCTCTGCGAATATTTTCTTTTAACTTAATTTATTTAGTTTATTTTAACTTAATAACAACAAAAAAAAAAAAAAAAAAAACATTTGAAAATAACGAAATCATTATTTCTATTGAACTTTCCGTTATTTCTACGTTTTTTTACACGGTTTCATTCAGTGAGTTAAACAACGATTTTCTATTAATCACCGACTTAACATAAAAACGAAAAGAAAACAGGTCCTTCCAATCGTTTTTCGATTGAAACAATATTTCTTGTAAACTACGAAATATTCTTCAAATTTAAAAATAACGCTAAGGTAGGCCGTAAATATTGTCCGTTTTTCTTGTAAATTTGTTCTGGGTTATCCAAATAATTATAAAAACACACTGGAAAATGAATGAAATGGAATTTTTAGTGTACTATAACTTCATCTAAAATACAACCGAGAAGGTCTCTTGTGATATGTATTTTAGGGCAGGATTTCTAGTGGAAAAGTAGTTTACAGATTAAAAAAACAAAAGAGCTGATACTGGGGACGGGTGTGGCCACTGTTGAAGCTGAAAAGTTGGGAAGGTAAGATACATAAAGTTATTTCATTTATATCTGTAAGCAACAATAAATCATTGCTGACGAAAGACGTTTCCGAACGCAGATCGGTAATACATAATTTGAAGTGCCGTAATTTTGTTTTAACCTAACTTTCCTTCGTTTTTTCCCACTTATTATGAAAACTAATTAAAAAATTAAAAAAATATATCTGCCTCATTAAAAACAAGATAAATAATTCAACTAAAAAGGTCACTGGTTGTTTTTAAATTAGCACCATATTTCTGTCAGAAAACGTGATATTTACTTATTTAAAATAACAAAATCGTGAAAAATCGTACTTTTTTTTCCCGGTTAATCGATTTTATATTAAATGCCGTTTCGAAATCAAAAAATTACCTACGTATTTACAAAGAAGATAAAATTTACTTTCGGAAAAGTCGCTACACTTATATATTTGAGCAAGTTTTCTAGGATAAAAGTGGTTTACAGTATAAAAAAAAATTAATAATAAAGTTCTATTGAAAAAAATAAAAAAAAATAAATATTTTTCGTTAATTTTAGAAATTTTACCGAGTATAGGTAAGTCAAATATAAGTATTATTACCAAGTTTTAAGTCTTTACGTGTTTTTATAACCCAATTACAACGAAAATCTCCCAAAAACTAAAATTCTTTAATAGCTCAAAAGTGGCTCATAAATTTTGGCAGTAAGAAAGTAAATCAAAAAGGAAATAAAAAAGGTGTTCTGTGATTTTTTGATTAAATAATTTTTCTGGAAGAGAACGTCGTCCGTGTTTTTATAAAATAATGAATTCGTCTAGACAAATTGAGCTTTCAGAACAGTTGCTACACGTAAACATCGAAGCGAGTTAACTAGGAAAAATGTGTCCACAGACTAGAATAAAAGAAAATAAGAATAAAAAAAAAATATCATTGTAAAACAAATAGCTCCCTACCCTCACTCGGAATCTAAAAGATCTAATTATAAAATCAATACGTTCCTATCACTTCCCTCAGAATCTAAAATCTAAAGACTCGTAATGCATTTTTAAGCATAAGTTGTGAAATTTTTTAAGTAAAATTCAAATATAAAAGTAAAATTGTATCGCATAACTACGAATTTTGCACGGTTTTTTCAATTTTAAACTCAAAAAACTGCTATTTGTAAGTTGATTTTAAAAAGACCAGTAATATCAAACAATAAATCGTAAATATTTTTATATGTTTCTATATTCGTTAAGGGGTTTTTTCTAAATAATTTTAAAAAAAATTAAAATATAAAACGAAAATTTTATCGCAAAACTACGAATTTTGCGCAGTTTTTTCAATTTTAAACTCGAAAAACTGCTATTTGTAGGTCGATTTTAAAAAAACCAGTTATTTAAAACGATAAATCGTAAATTTTTTTATATGCTTCTATATTCGCTTGGGGGTTTGTTCGACATAATTTTAAGTAAAAATCGAATATAAACAAAATTAGTATCGAACGATAGCGAATTTTGCACGGTTTTTTCAATTTAAACTTAAAAAAAGTGATATTTCTAAGACGGTTTTAAAAAAAACTGACAATATCAAACGATAGAGCATAATTTTTTCTATATGTTCCTATATTCTTTAGGGAACTTTTCTAAATAGTTTTAATTTAAATAAGAATATAAACATAATTTAGTATCGAACGATAGCGAATTTTGCACGATTTTTTCAATTTTAAAGTTAGGGAACTTAAAGTTCCCTAAAGAATATAGAAACATGTAGAAAAAATTATTTTCATTTGTTTGGCATAGTCAGATTTTTTAAAATCGACTTAGAAATATCACTTTTTTTTAGTTTAAAATTGAAAAAACCGTGCAAAATACGCTATCGTTCGATACTAAATTTTGTCTATATTCTTATTTAAATTAAAACTATTTAGAAAAGTTCCCTAAAAAATATAGAAACATATAGAAAAAATTATTTTCATTAGTTTGGCATAGTCAGATTTTTTATTCACTTTGATTGTAGTACTTCGTACTCCATCAAAATAAAACATCATATTAAGTATATATTTAAATATTCCCAAAGTATTTGTGACATATTTGATATTTAAAAATTGTTTAAAAATGTTTAAAAATCTGTAACTTCTCTAAAAATTAAAAATGTAAATACAATTTTTAAAGTTCTTTGTGAGTTAAAAACCAAAATAGTATATGAAAAAAGATTTCAACAAATGGTTTGAACTGGTTATATTATTTTATATTTCAGTAACTTGATTTCATCTATACAAAATTATACGTGTCAATGCTTTCCATTTGTATTTTACTTGCATGCACATTTTTATTATTTTAACTGTTTAAAATTTGTTCTTACCTTTTTTTTTTCCTTTTTAGTAATAGATATCGAACAAATATTCTTAGAAGGGTACAATAATAAGACGCAACAAGCACATCAAATATAATTTTTTTTTTTTTTAAAAATTGCCGTATAGGCATTTTTATTTAAACGATAAAAGAATCTTTATAAATACAAATCAGTAATAATATTAATACATACAATAAAATATATATATATATATATATACAAAACATATGCGAGGTTTACTTCCAGGGAAGCAACACCATTCTTAATCTAATATTTAGACTAAGTCAAATGGCTTCAGTCGTTTGAGTCGACTGATGTCTTACGAGCTGTCGAGGAGTTGTATGACAGCTGTATTTATGTGAAGCTCTAGTCTTCTTGCATTTTTACGAGCAAACCGGGTAACTTCATCCTGCACGGATGACACTTTCAAATCGCGGTGGATGTTGTCATTCTTATCATACCGATATACTGCGACAATGGTACGAAGAGCGATGCTCTGGCATCGTTTTATTATTCCGATATTGGACTTACTGGTACAACCCCACAGTTGAATACCATAAATCCAAATCGGTTTAACAATCGATACATACAAGAGACGTTTGCTGCTTAAGTGTAGCTCGGAATGTCGTCCAACTAGCTAGTACAGTTTGTGCATTATTTATCTGATTTGCAACTTTTTCTGACGTACATGATGTTTCCGGTTAAGCCCTGAGTCAAGGTGCATTACAGATATTTCGCTGAATCATTTTGCGGAATTATCTGTTGATTTAGCGTGACTGTGATGTATGTGATTTTACGTAAGGTATAGTTAATGTGCACCGACTTATCTCCATTAATTTTTATTAATGTTGTTAGTTGGAATATCAACTGTATAGAGTAGGTATAAAATAAGTCCGAGAACACTACCTTGAGGTACTCCAGCTGGTATACTCTTCCAATTAGTTATCATTCTTTCGTATCTAACACGAAAATGTCTTTCAGTCAGTTATGATTTAAGGAGTGCGCACCATGTGTGCGGAAGTTGCTCGCGTAATTTTAACAATAGGCCTTTATACCAAAATTTTTCAAAGGCTTGGACCAGGAATACTCCACAGCAATAATTTTTCTCTTCTAACGTCTTACTCATCACGTTCGTTACGCGATGAACTTGGTCGATAGTCGAGTGTTTTATACAAAATCCAAACTAGTGATCTGGTATAAGTTGCTTTGCTTCAATAATTGAATTAAGACGCTTAAGAAAAAGTTTTTCAAATAGTTTTGACATGCATGCTATCGGTCGATAGGAGAAAGCTTGTTCAGGTGGTTTTCCGGGTTTAAGCAACATGATTACCTCCGCTCTTTTCCATTGCTCAGGAACGAATTCTGTTCGCAAGATGGCGTTGTAAATGTGGGTAAGATAGATAATTGTCTTCTTAGGTAGCTCTTAAAGGATACGTGGGCTGATCTCATTGAACCCAGGTGGCTTTTTCGTGTTGATGTTGGTGTCAATTTCATAAGCCACTTCGAGTGGTGTAAAATGCCTTCTGAATTCTCTTGTAGAATTCAGTGGCTGACATTGCGTGCAGTTAAGTTCAGAAACGATGTCATTTGACTGAAATATACGTTCGAGATGTCGTGCGTATACTTCAGCTTTATCCTGTTCACTGCGCGCCCAAGTTCCATCTTCCTTTTGAATGGATGGTATATGGACACGAGGTCTTTTTAATTGTCTTGGGGCTTTTAATAAGAATATTAAGTTGCTAATACATGAAATTTACCGAATGAACAATTTTTATTATCATTCTGTGCTACTTTATAAATTATATAAACAATGTTAAGACTTTCAGAACCTTTTTATTTTAAAACTTGAATGAAAATAAAGCATGTTTTTTCTTTTAAATAATTATGTTTTTATTTAATCTCTTGACAATATAGGATAAATAATTTTAAGTTACACAAGTATACAATTTTGTATATCTAATCTTATCAGTTTTTTTTTATTTTACAATTTTTTACAAGTAGGTATATATATTCAAATTCACTGTCTTATAGTAGTTGGTGGTGTCCATATGCCATTGTGTGTATTTTGTCTCTCATATTTATCCTCTTATCTTCATAGTTGCTGTAGGTAAGTTTATTTGTAGAGATGGTGTTTAGTTAATGATGGAACGAGTGAATCGACACATTATTTTTATAAACGTTCAAATCTCCATCACCGAACAGACACTTCTTATGGTCGTTAAACGTCATATGATTTTTAACGGCATGTCCTCGGATTCCTTTTGCCTTGGTCTTCTCCACTCCATCTATATTATACGTATACACCTTAGCCCGCAGCGTACAAAACTCGGTTATTGTTCTCCCATCCGACTCATCAGAGAACAAACCCGGTTTCTTCTTCCTCTCAATAACGTAGCATGGGTGATCTACTGGTAGATTGGCGGTGTCCGTACATTCCAACAATCCCGGATTATTACGTAAGTTAGCATAGTAATCACTAGTTTTGATAAGGTACACCAACGAATCTAAAAAATAATAATAATAATAATAATATAAGGAAAAAAAATAAAAATAAAAATAAAAATAATATTAATAATAACAATAATTTACCTGTATCGGTGTACAATAAGTTAATCAAGTTTTTGAAATGTTTCTTCATAACATTATAATGGTAGTCATACATTTCTGTTTTAGAAATATCCAGTACAGCAAATCCTGTAAACATATAAAAAAAAAAAAAATACTTAAAAATAATATAAGATTCTAATTGTGAAACATACCTATATAAATTGGTTTGTAGAAATATATAATTTTATTCTCCAGTGATACAGCACATTGGTTTTCGTTATAAGTCGTACAGTGTTTAAACGTTGTTTTACTTATCAGTTTCTGCACTTTTTTCTCATTAGAGACCAGCTCCATGTCAATCCTCCATCTCATTGATTCCATAGTTTTACCTATAAAAAAATATATAATAACAGACAAGTTTTAATAACAATAATAAATTACCAAATACTGCATTGTTCATCAGTTTGTCCTTCTCATTCTTTTTAAATTCGTTCGTTGCCTTCTTCCTCATCCCGGTATTCAGATCGATATATGTAGCCAGCCACAGTGATTTCTGGAACTCCATAATTATATGTACCTTTAACATAAATAATACAAATATATAATAAATAAACAAAAAAAAAATATACATTTTTACCTTTTTAACGATAAGATCGTTAACCATCGCCTGCTTCAAATGTCGGTAATGTAAGAAATAATTATTATTCTCCTCCAACGTAGCCATCAACTTCTTGACCTTTGAACCGGGTGGTACACCATTATTGGATAGAAATAGAAGATCAACGTGCAGATTTTATGGATATTTGATATCTACTTCGTACACCCGACCAGTGTTGGATGTATCAGTCATTGTTTTCGCGATAGTTATAAATCGCAAAAATTAACATATAGGTATATATTTTTTGAATATATAAAAAGTATAATTCCTAGTTACACATTTAAAACGTACAACCATTATAAAATATTATCTATGTAATAAAATAATATTTTACCGTAGTAGTGGGTTAATGTTCGGGCAGGTAGAAGGTCAGCGGGGGACGCGAGCGAGCTCGCGAAGGTATAATAATGTAAAGATAATCTACAGAGGGTAGATTGGCGGGGGAGAGGTGAACACTAGGATTGGCAGGTATGTGCAGATATGTGCAGGTCTGTGCAGGCTCGTCATCGTTGTCGTCGTTGTCGATTATATTTAGAAAGAAAAATAATTTATTAAAATATATTCAGTAGTAGGGTTTGCGTTCGGGGTAAGACGAGCGCGCATGCACGTGAGAAATAATACTTATAAAATAATATATACAATAATGATAACGAGTAGGTACTCTAATACGGTATATAAATATATGTTATCAGCTGTTATCACAGGTTAGACATTATAGGTATACTTTGTGTGAGGACCCGTATAGGCGTATATGATAAGAGCGAATAAGGAGCGGATAATATGTAGAGGGGATAAGTCGAGGGAAAAGAGGTGATACCGGTTCAACATACTCGTAGGTTAGGGAATAGGCGACAATACATCAACACGTACAATCATATTGGTAAAACTGTTCAGTAACAATTACTTATCAATATATCATTTAATGAAATTAACACATCATAATTATTTTATGTATCTTAATTAGACACTATCACGGCCATACGCTTTCCTACACCGTGCAATAATCTCAACCAATTCGGAACATGATTCAACATCATCGTTGTTTTTTGCACAGTTCAGTAATTTATGTATCGCACAAGTACACTTTTCTTTATTCAAAATCGTGGACGTAGTCTGTGTCAGTTGATCTAAAGGCTTTTTGGCTCCGATTAAAACAAAAACTGTATAATCTATAAATCTAATAACACTACCCGAAGTAGGAAAAACGTCGGCATTGGAAGTGGTTTCGATAAATAATTCAGACTGTTTCAGTTGTGTAGGTTGGGCCTGGGAAACTTGAGTTGATTGATCTTGTGGTACTTGTGGTACTTGTGTTTTAGTCGGATCATCAAACATTAATTGTTTAAACTTGTGTATGCTTCTTTTAAAATGTTAATGTGTTTTTTTTTTTACTAAAAATTTAAACGAGTTTTAAAATTTAAATTGTTGAATTGAATAAAATATGACAACGACAATAAACAGTTAGTTTTATTCGTAAAACGGGTAACTCGGCAACACGACCGAATCAAATGCACCAATCTATGGTGTTAAGTACACGGTACTTATTTGAGCCTGAATTAAAACATGTATTATTTCAAAAATTTATCTAACCTACATTTGAAAATAACTGCAATCAAAATTTTGTATTTAAGAACGGACGCCATCACTGCTACTTTGAATTGAAAGCAATATAACGTAATATCACAATTTTTAATATTATAAATGTAGTAGGTAAAACAAAATTAAATAATTAAAAATTGCACAGAATAATTAATAATTTAATAATTTAATAATTTAATTTTAAAATAACAAAATTAACCACGTTAAACGAAATTTAACCGAACTTTAATACTATTAATAAACATTTAGAATAGCCTGGATCACTTTTATTTAATTAAATGCCCTTATTATACAATATAAATAGTATTACTAAAGCTTAAAAGCTATAAGAGTCGCATATTAATATTAGAAAAATATTTTTCTATATAACATTATTGTAGGACCGCTCTCGATTTATAACAGAGTTTAAAAAAATCCATTCTACGAGGGTTGTCCCAAAAGTAATGCACAGCGCGCTCTAGCTGTCTTGCAATGTGATATTATCAGCTGATTTTAGTATCAGTTTGTAGCTTGAAGTCTAACGAACACGTGCGTTTTCAGTTTTAGTTGTTTTAGTAAAGTATGATGATATGTGAGAGCAATAACGAAAGTGAGAACAATTCGTCGGCTCACATTTCTATTTTTGAGCAACGCGCATACATTAAAATCGAAACGATTCGTGGTAAAACAGTGCCTGAAATTCATGCCGCGTTAAATGAAGTGTGTGGAACGGATACTGTGGATCGTAGTACGGTACAAAGATGGCATCAGCGATTCCGTGATGGTCGTATAAGTATTGATAACAACCCTCGCTCTGGCCGACCCTCTACGGTTACTCAAGACAACACTAACGCGGCTATTCTCGCAACTCTACTCGATGAAGACCGACGAATAACGGTGAGAGAGATAGAGAATGAAACAGGTATTTCAAAATCAAGTGTTCACCGCGTTTTAACGGAAATTCTACAGAAACGAAAGATTGCAGCACGTTGGGCGCCTCATTTTCTGTCACCGGAACAGAAGGATACACGCAAAGACATCTGCCGTGAACTCCTTTCTCGCTACGAAAATGAAAAAGAAACGTTTCTTGATCGTATAATTGCAATAGATGAGACTTGGATCCGTGATTTTGAGCCGGAATTAAAATCGAGACAACGTGTTTGTAAACTGTAGAAAATAATGACGCCGAACAATCAGGTGAATTCAAAGTTTACTTTTAACGTCATATTAAATATTTTTATCATTGTGATAAATAAAACCACAAATAGAAACCAAAATCTGAACCATCAGATGGATAGCATGGTTTAATATTTTTGTTATATTTTATCGATTATATCACGGAACGGATGTGTGAAGATATCACTATTGCACAATTTGTATACAAATCTAAAACGTACATGTCCCCAAACCCTCACAAATGAAATTCTAGAAAATTTGTATTCAAATATTTTGTGCATCATTTGTATGAATTTGTTTGACAGTGTTTAGGTATCTAAGTAATATTGAAAATACTAAAAGGGGCTGACGACATGTCTCCATCCCCTACTAATATAAATAATTAATTATTCATATATTTTATGATGCATAATTAAAGAGAGCAATTTTTATGAATTTGTGTGGTCATTTTTGAAATTTGTTTGCGATCTTCTTGTACGCCATCTTTGTTGAGTTCACGGGTCCTTCGGCTCACTTCTTCATTTAGTATATCTAAGTTGGGAAAACGGATCCCTCTAAGTGGTTCCTTCAGTTTTGGAAATAAATCAAAGTTCGGGGGACTTAAATCCGGCGAATACGGTGGGTGTTTGAGGCGTTCCCATCCATATTTCTCCAAAAGAGCGACGACTGGTGCTCCGATATGCGGCCGCGCATTATCGTGCAATATGGACACACCATTTTGTAACATTCCTGGTCGCTTATTACGGATTTCTGGTCGCAATTTTTTGGCAAGGAATGTTTTTTAGTAATCCCCAGTTACACTACTGCCAATTGGAACTCGATCAGTGACAATTATCCCAAGTTTATCGTAAGCAAAAATCATCATTTGTTTCACCTTTGTTTGCTGGCGACGAACTTTTTTTGCTCTTGGTGANCCTTCTGTTCCGGTGACAGAAAATGAGGCACCCAACGTGCTGCAATCTTTCGTTTCTGTAGAATTTCCGTTAAAACGCGGTGAACACTTGATTTTGAAATACCTGTTTCATTCTCTATCTCTCTCACCGTTATTCGTCGGTCTTCATCGAGTAGAGTTGCGAGAATAGCCGCGTTAGTGTTGTCTTGAGTAACCGTAGAGGGTCGGCCAGAGCGAGGGTTGTTATCAATACTTATACGACCATCACGGAATCGCTGATGCCATCTTTGCACCGTACTACGATCCACAGTATCCGTTCCACACACTTCATTTAACGCGGCATGAATTTCAGGCACTGTTTTACCACGAATCGTTTCGATTTTAATGTATGCGCGTTGCTCAAAAATAGAAATGTGAGCCGACGAATTGTTCTCACTTTCGTTATTGCTCTCACATATCATCATACTTTACTAAAACAACTAAAATTGAAAACGCACGTGTTCGTTAGACTTCAAGCTACAAACTGATACTAAAATCAGCTGATAATATCACATTGCAAGACAGCTAGAGTGCTCTGTGCATTACTTTTGGGACAACCCTAGTATAAAATTAAAAACATATAATAATAATGTTTAATAATATTGAATCCAAACAAAATCGTGAAGTACTGATTAATGAAGGTTTATTGTACATATTTGATAAATTTAGTACCGACAAACAAAACAAATTTGGACATGTTACCAAAAAAATGACTTTTTGGCAAAAATCTATACTAGTATTGACAGTTTAATGATTTTAAAAAATCAGAAAATATGTATATTCATGATTCTGATACTGCAAAAGTTGAGACACAAATTGCTATTACTAATATAAAAAAACGAGCGTTGTCCACAATGGAACAAACATCATTTGTTATTATTGAGTGTACATTAGGCCTGTCTCAAGCAACTAAAGTAATAATTGTATATATTGTATAAATAATAATCAATAATGATTTTTTATTGAATATTAATAAGATAAATTAATTTTACACAAAGGTGTTCTTTCGAATAATGATCCATTGAAAAAGTAAATAAAAAGAAAAAAAAAGTTCAATTTGCTCCACCTACATCTTTAAATCGAATTTCATTGGAAATACATTAAATGCATCAAAGTTATTCACTAAAAGAATGTATCCCAGAAAAATATTTATTAGCTAATAGTGGTGAAGAAATTAATAGAATTTTAATTTTTAAAAGACAGATGAGGTTAAATATCTTGAAGCGTTCTTATACTTAGTTTGTTGATGAATGGCATATTTAATGTATTAAAAAGGTCATTAAGAGATGTCATTTTTTGATTTTCGATGCAATTTTTTAAATAAAAGTGCTTAAGTGGAATAAAACGTAAGAAAACGGACAATTTCACGCCTTCATAATTTTTTATAAAAACATGGACGACGTTTTCTACCAGAAAAAATGATTTGATCGAAAAATCACAAGATAAATTTTTTGATGCCTTTTAGATTTACTTTCTTACGGTATTATTACCAAAACGATCAAGCCACTTTTAAGCTTTTAAGAAATTTTTATTTTTGGGAGCTTTTGCTGTAATTTGGTTATAAATACACGTAGAGACTTGAAACTTAGTAATAATACTTATATTGGACTTACCTAGACGTGGTAAAATTTCAAAATTATCAGACGACTTTTTTTTTTAATAAGAGTTTTTAAATCAAATTTAAACGAAAATCGCAAAAACAACAATTACGACACTTCAAATTATGTATTACCGAATTGCGCTCGGAATCGTCTTTCGTTGAGCAATGGTTTATCGTAGCTTACAGATCGATATAATCGATATAAATGAAATAACTTTATGTATCCTATCTTTCCAACTTCTCAAAATCATTAGAATTAAATTTTGAAAATATAATAAACACATAAATCATATCATGTTAAAATACATGAATATCTATAGTAAATAAATAGAAATATAATAAAAAATGGTTATTGTTATACTGGATGATTCATTCAAATATGTACCTACATTTGTTATTTCGAAAAGTATTAATTTTCATTAAAAATTGTTGACAAAAAATAACAATTAGATGTTAGATTAGATTTCGCAAGAATCGATAAACTATTATCGATCGTTGATTACCCAAATTATTTGAAGATACTATTTAAAATTATATAATATCTTTAGCATATTTTTAACATGTTTATATTATAGACCTTTGAATTATTTTAATTAATGCTTGTTATTTTTAAGGGGGGGGGGGCAACTTTACAAAACAATTACTATGGGGCAGTCGTGCACCCTGCCGCCATTATTCCAGCGTCCCTGGTCAAGACTCAAGTATTGAGGGAAAAAAATGAAAATAGAGTATCTAGTGGCCATTAGGTAATGCTGAATAGGTCAATGAAGCAAATAAGCTGAGGCAGCACATTTTAAATAATATTTAGAATATATTAAGAACACGAGCACCGCAGTAACGGGTCAATGCTGGATTTTAATTGAGACATGTATGTGTGTATTTTTTTCGAGAGATCCGAATTTTTGTATGCTTTGTGTTTTATTTTAAAAATAAATTTGCTGTGCGAAATATCGTTTAATTTGAGTAGCCACAATACGTAATCTTAATTCGAGTCTGATCTGTAACCGATTAATTTATGGTCGTTGAAGACAAGGTCTAAAAGGGTGAAGGACTACTTACATCTACCTACACTCTGCGAACAAATCAACCGGTTAGTTTATGGTAGTTTATATTCTCAAATTAGGTAAAGAATAAATTAGGTAAAGAATAAATTAGGTAAATATACGACAGTAATCAATATAAATCAATTTAATAAATTCCTTTCAATAAACAATGTTTTATGTTATTGTTTAAATTTTCTTAAATGAAAAAAAAAAATAGTTTCATGTCGATATATTTATTTTTCCGTTAAATTAGACAGTGAGCCGCATACCGACTATAGCAGTGGTTTTCAGCCTTTTTTCATTCACACACCCCTTGACCACTCACTACTACTTTACGGACCCCCAAATGTCAATTTTTCATATATTTTCACATAAGATAGATATGAATTAACGAAATAAGTTTAATAATGAAAAATTTGATTTATTTTGATCAACATGCGCAATACATTGTATATATAAAAATAATATTGAGTTAAAAATGTAATTTTAATGTGATCCTTGAGATTTTTTGCTAGCACTTAACTTTTTGAAATCTGGCTCCACGGATGATAAATAAACTCGTAAGTCTGAACTCACCGAGAGTCTATTACGGTNAAGAAAGCTCAGGATATTCGTCTTTCACATTATCCCAAAAGGTTATAAGTGATTTTTTTTCAAGAAATACTGCTTGAAGTGAAAAGTCCGTTTTCAGTTCAATCAATTTTTCTTTTTCACGGGCTGATAAAACTGCAGATTTGAAATAAATTTCACTGAAAGGGAACATAATCCAGTGGTCTTCTTTTCCACATTTAGGGAAGTATTTTTCAAAAGCTATTTTAAGCTCATTCAAATGTTGAACAATTTGGTGTTGATGCCTTGTGATAAGTTCATATCAGTTTCACAGAGAAAATCATGCAGTGCTTCAAAAATTTCTGGTTGGTTATTCTCAATACACGTTTTCCAAAATTCTAACTTTTTAACAAAAGATTCTATTTTGTCATTAATTTGGAATATTATCACTGCACTGTTTTGAAGAGTCAAATTTAGATTGTTTAATTTCAAAAAAAACATCGGATAAGTATCCTAGTTTTTGAAGCCATTCATGGTCGTTAAATTTTGATGACAGTCGAAAAGGGTGGTCTTTAAAAAACATTTGAACTTCATGCCTAAGTTCAAACAAACGAGTAAGGACTTTACCTCGTGATAACCATCGAACCCCAGTATGAAGAAGGAGGGTTTTGTGAAGACTTCCCATGTCTTCACACAATAATGAAAATATTCTGGAGTTCGTGTGGCGAGACTTGATGAAATTGACCACTTTACAAGAATCGTCCAGAACGTCCTTCAAATCTGCAGGAAGAGGTTTCGATGCAAGAGCTTGTCTATGGATAAAAAAATGAGTCCACTTTATTAGTGGGGATACTGCCTTAACACACGCAAGACCAGAGTAACAACCTGACATAAACGTTCCACCATCAGTACTTAAACCACAGCATTGTGACCACTTTATTTTTTTTTCGGCGAAGTAAGAATCAATAACATGAAAAATATCTGCACCTGTTGTGCGTCCAGTCAGAGGATGGCAGAACAAAAGACCTTTTTCGCTTTCTTTTTTTTATATATCTTGCAATAACTAACAAAACAGCTAATTGTGCTACATCAGTACTCATAGTAATTATTTCAACATCAATAAATTTCAAATCAGCTCCAAAATGTAATATTATAACAGTGGAAATTAAAATTATTGGAAAAATATTAAGAATAGATACCTACATAGCTACACAATTAGAATGTATCTATCTACAAATTAGCAATATAAAGTATTGAATTGTAATTTGAATAAAATTAACAGATAGTCAATTTGTGATTTTTAAATAATAATCGTTCTCTCTCTCTCTCTGATTTTTTTTTTTTAGTACATAATAGTATTTTTGCATTACCTAGACAACAGATTATTGAAGGAATAAAACAATTTACTTAAATTTACAATTCATTAAATTTTAAAACTTTCATTTAACTGCCATCACTTAATTACACCAATGAATAAATCAACAAAACTTTACAGTTTTTCGTTTGTGGTTAAAAAAATCAAATTTAATCCAAACGCCACACTAAGTGGTAAATTAACGGTAAACATTAACTTCGTAAGGTATCATGAACAAACAGTTTTCGAACCAATTGTACAACCTCCTACAAATATAGTTAACTTAAATGCCGGGAAAACATTTACATTTGGTCTTGATCGATGTAGTGCAATTCAGTTGTCTAAAGATTTTATTATTCGTGTAAGTCTTCATCAAAACGATCCAGACAAACAATTATCAGAAGCTGTTATAAATGGCACCAAAACGTTCCGCGATGTTTTGATGGATGTTTGTCCGCGTAAATCAAAAACACAGGTCAGAAATGTGAAAGAATATTTAAATATAATAAAAAGGAAAACCTGATATTGGGAACGGATGAAATTGCTAAAAAAAAACTGATTTAGAGCAAAGTCGGGTTATACATTTTTATTGAAACACCCTAATTGTTAAAATTTGCGTCAATATTTAATTTTGAATCCCTTATAAAAAAAATATATTATACTTTTAGATTCTGAGTATAACGAAGAATATATTGGTTTTATTAAGATGTTTGTTTTTTTATCCTATGTACAAAATTTCTACCAGAAATCGTGCTCAGACATATACGCGCAGCACCTTCTAAAAGGGAATATTCTTCAGATGGTACTTTTAGAAGGTAATATTTTGATTTTTCAAGCGGTTTTCTTAATATCTGGGAAAACCAAAGATAAAACGTAGGAAAAACGGAAAATTTACTAAAATAATGCTTTTATTATTTTTCAATTTTGTTATTTGTTGTAATTCCGCTAAACATATTCGTAGAGACTTGAAATTTGTAAAGAAAACTTATACTTGCCTTTTCTAGACGTAGTCAAATTTCCAAACAATTCAAACCATGTTTGAGCTACTTATAGACATTTTAATTTTGTACGTAATATTTATTCTTCAGATATTCTGTGGAATTGTAAGACTTAAACAGTAAATACTTAAATATTTAACAGAAGGTTCATTAAGAATCTTACTTTGTAGTCAAAAAATAAAAATAAAATAGAGTTTAATGTAGTATTTTTTTTTTTATAATGGAATTTCAATATCAAATTTTAACGAAAATCGTTTGAGTAAAAAATAATGTGGAACAAATCTAATTTTTCATTTTTCAACATAATATGTAAATTGCCGATTTAAGAACAATGGTAAATTCAGAATTAATCGAAAGTTTCGAAATTATAGCTTCTGATATTATGATTATTAATTAATTTTTTGATTTCCCTAAGGGTTTTCATTGTAAATTGAAAATGTATAAAATGTATTATTTTCAAATCATAAACATTACATTCTTTTAAAACTTGTATAACTGAACTCCACTCAGAATCGTTTTTCGATCAATGATTGATCGTTACGTACATTTGTACATTCAATTTCCTCTCTATTATCCAAACTTCATAATCTCGCCTACAACAGTGGCCTTCTGCGATGCATGTCCGTTTTTTTTTTAGAGGTAAAATTTAGTTTTTAATTTTAAATTTTAAATTTTGATAAAGAAGAAATAATTCTGAGCAAAGTTCAGTTCATAGTTTTGCTTTGTCAACAATATATATGCCAAACTGTGGTAAAATAATTATATAGGAATTATATATTATCTTTAACGATATTTGTTTAATATTGTACCTATTTTCCCAATTTTTCCATTTATTTGGAAAACTCTTGGGGAAAATCAAAAAAATCACCTCTTTAAAGTATCTTCCTAATCAGAGTTTCAATTTAGAAAAAGTACTATCTTTTTAAATTTGATCAAAATTTCCGGAAAAAAAGTTGTCCACAGAAAAAAAGGATCGTAATATTTTTCTAATATATTTATACATTTATACATTTTCTCGTTTATCCTCCGTTTTTTTAGTTTTTCACATTTGATGAAAAAACTGAGAAAATCGAAAAATGATCTCCTGAAAGTACCTCCCTAGTACAATTTCCTTTCAGAAAAAATATTATCATTGTTAATTGGATCAAGATTTCTAAAAGAAAAGTTATCCACAGATAAAAAAAAAAATAAACATCTTTGTTAATCTTTAAGCTTCTTCGCTTTACTCAGAATCTAAAATACATCATAGTAATTATACTAATAAATCCCTCGTTATACTCCTTGATTGATATCTTTAAGAATTGGCGACTTTAATAAATAAATAAATATACATACATTTTTTTTTAATTTTAAGCTGAAAACCACGATAAAATTCAACGATGTAACGGGCAACGAAATCGCTGAAATGGACGTAGTCGTGCTGTTGTCCCCTGCTGGACCAACCATTGTAAATGAATTTAATTTGGACGGAAACATTGACCAACAACATATAGCCATGACGAGTGAACGTGCATGTCCTGTAGTACCAGAATTTAAAATACCTACTAAAGAGCATGACAACGAATGGGTTGTTATAGGTGCGGAGTTAAACAGTGGACAGAAAATCACAATCAAATACAAAAAGAGTTGTTATGAGCTAAAATCTGGAATCGATAAAACTAATGAACCGTGTGAAGAAATCAAAGTAAAAACCACAAAGAGTGAAGAAAAACTAAATTATCAAATGCTTGGATTGATGGAAGAAATGCATAAAATTATAGCAGCAAATACTACAATGCCTTAAACATTTTACAATAACTAGTATTTTATTTTACCATTATATAAAACAGTGTTTGATTTTTAATAAGTAGCAGTGGTGTAATTAAAAGAGATTTTATTCCCTTGTATCATTGGAAGACCCCTCAATATAGTGATAGATCCTCGTACATCACAATAATTTAATATTATAGTAGAGCTCGAGTTCAAAAGAAATACTACTTTGTACTCAACTTTTTTTTTTTACTGCTATTTAATTCATATAATACCTACTAAAAAAAAAAAAAAACTAGTAAAATTAAAATGTCTATAAATAGCTTAAAAATGGCTCAAATGTTAAAATGTTACTACGTCTAGAAAAGACAAATATACATTTTCTGTATCTCCGCGAATGTGTTTAGCTGAACTACAACTGTAATATATTGAATATTTAATACTTGTAAAATAAACGATCAAGATTACACAGCACAATTACCAATTCTATCACAAACATCTCTTAAACAGTGTAGCCACCTTAATATGGCACATATCAATTCAAAATACACGCGTCGCTCACATGTAGGCGCCCATGTAGCTACCGTGGTGAAGTGGGAATCGTCTGTATGGGAGACCATGGAGGGCATAAATACGCCATGCGCGTCAGCCAAAAAGCCATTCTAACAATCTGACTGTGTCAGTTGTTACTTCTTTGGGTTCACCTACCAAAAGCAGACAATTTTTGTTCACTCACTCCAACCTTTTTTTCCAAACCTATGGAATAGTTGCAGATACCGAAGGCGGGCGGCTGTATTTGGTTCTCCCTATCCTATATGCCTGGTAATTTTGCTTATTGTCACTATTGACAATATGTGTTAACACAATTTATGTGTCAACACATAAATTGTGTTTATTTTTTAAAAAAATATATATACGGTACGTAGACGGCTATACAGATCTTATTATGTTAGGATCCATAGATATTATATATATATGGATCATATCTATAGATATAATATATATATTCTATCCATCTTATCTTATTATGTTATTGTTGTACACGAGTAGCAGGCAAATCGGCCATCAATAGATCATCAAAGAATGTTGTTCACATACGTACATTAATTACATTGTGTGCATTTATAGTATCGCTTATCGCCAGCACACACAGTCCAGATATATCAGACACAAAGAAAAGTCCACCAATTAGTGGCACAATTATTTCAGATGCTCCTCTACTTCCAACCATGAAATTCTTCATTGCCTTAAAAATATAAATATTGAACCCACATCACAAATAAACTATACCAAAGCCAGAATCAAACTCAAAGGCTACGACCACATTTTGAGCTTTCGAAGACAAATGTACATTAAACATGAAAATACCCCAAAGCTTCCGGGACTACAACCAAATACAATTTAGAATTTTCTTAACAAATGACACAATACCTATGCAAATCAACTGAACACAACACAATCCTATACAAAATATACGCCAGAAAGCACATCACCTACTACTAAACCCACAGAAAACCCTTCCGAAGACCCGGAAAAAACAGACATGACTCCTACACAAATACACAGCCATATTCAAATTATAAACAATCAAAATAATATAAATTATGAACACACCACAATACTTTTTGAACAGATACAGCCCCTGAAAATACTCTGATCGACAAATCCAAATACCAAAAAATCACAGATTGGAATGATAGAAACAGATATGAAAAACAAGCCTCCCTTATTAAAAATATTGTGGGTAATACAAAACTACAAGAACCAATTAAAATCTTAACTAATACTCAGATCAAAAAACTATCAGTCGAATACACGCTCATCAAATTCTCCCACCTCTCCCTCAGCACTCGGTGGAAAAATCACTCTTACTCAGCTTTAAAAGAAAAGGCCGAAGCTCCCATCCAGGTCTAAATCATTATTTTCCACACAGATGTACTACAGAAAACTAGGTATAGCATTACAACCAGCAAAATCGATAATTACAAGCCACGAGAAAACTCCAACATCCTTCACCCAATTCAAATATATATTAGAAACCTTCACAAATAAATCCATTAATATAAAATCTCTCTGTGAAAAAACCGATATAGACATACCATCACTAATAAACTTAATCGAAGAAGTAAGAACTACAATAAAGGACAGAGTAACGAAATCCAGACTTACAAAACTCTCCAATCTTCTATTCTAAATATCTCACCCGTCCATATAAACAGTCCTAATGAGTATAAACATTATCCAATAGAACATAAACGGCTTTGTTATAAAGCTAAATGGCATCAAAATAATAAACAAAAACTACAATCCAACCATTTACATTATATGTTTTCAAAAAACAAACTTGAATGATAACTACTCCCCACTCATTAAACATTTCAATGTATACACCACTAACACAACTGCTTGCAACCGATCCAGCGGAAGAGTTACCATACTAGCTCGCTCCGACTACCCAAGTTCAGCGATCTCAGTCCTATCTTCGTTAGAAATAGTTGCTGCATCTATACAACTGGAGTATAAAATAACTATCTACAACATATACATACTAAACCAAAAATAATTCGAAGCCTCCGCGATAGAAAATATCATTCAACAACTACCAACTCTCTTTTTTATGGTTGGAGACTTCAACAGCCACAGTTTCTTTTGGGGATACGACATGAGATGTAAACAAATCGAAAGAATTCTTGAAAGTGAAAACATTATCCTTCTAAAAAACGGTGAACCTACTCATCTTAACCAAGCCAATAGAGGATTCTCAACGATTAACCTATCATTATACAGCGCATCCCTAGCCCGACGCGTCAAATGGTCAACTTTACCGAAAATATATGAAAGCGACCATATTGCAATCAAAATCGAACTACTATCAACGAAAGGCACCCCTCAATATCTCTCCCTAGATGAAAATTAAAAAACCCAAACTGGATTCTTTTTCACAACTGACAGAATCACATATAAGCACCAACCTCCCTCCTATAGACAGTTCCTCCGAAGACGATATTACTCATATAACTGAAGCCATAATATATTCAGCCAATATATCAANAAAGAGCGATTCTAGTTTGATCTGAAATAAAATCAGATCCTTACGAGGTGTAAGTAAAGAAAAACAGACTTACATCATGAGCGACAATACCTTGCATACCAACCCTGTTGAGGTTGCCAATTTACTTGGAAAATCTTTCTGCACTAAAAGCTCCGACAAAAATTATGAAAAATTCCTAGACATCAACAATAGACACCATCATTTTCTCTCTACCATTAGTACATCTCTAAACATCCTAATTAACTCAATTCCATATAATTTTATACACAACTTTCCTCAATCAGTAATCCAATTCATTCTCCGCCTTTACAACAAGATATAGAACAGCGGACATCTTCCCAAAACTTAGAAATACTCTATTTTTATCCCGATCCTTAAACCAGAAAAGAACAAATTCAGCACAGAGGGTACCATCCAATATCTCTACTAAACACAATGTGTAAAATACTGGAAAGGATAGTCGATACTCGTCTTAGATGGTTAGCCTGCCATGCAGTTAAACTCTCACAATCAAACACATAATATGCCAATGTCAGAACTACAGAGACTATAGAGCCACACTCCAGATTGTCAACAACCTCTATAAAGCCTTAGGTCCCGATCCAGTCAACATCGAAACAATTTTCAAATACCTTAAGTTTACCAAATTATACAACCTAATCTAATATCTTTAAAATTTAACTATTAGATGCATGTAATACCTATCATATGTAAATAACTGTAATTATCTAAAGCCAATGATGTTGTTATCGCGGCTTCATCTAAATAATAATAATAATAAAGTATTGCTAAAAAAAATTTTGAAAATGCTGAATTATGGATTTGTGAAAATGGGTATTTCGATAATTACGAGGGAGGAGGTCTCAAACAAATTTTGAAAATGGTCATACAAATGCATACATATAGCGTTTAATTGTTACACTAAAAAAAAAAGTTACAAAATCCGAATTGGCAGAGGCGGGAGAAAACGAGTATTTCGATAATTACGAGGAAGGGGGTTGAAAACAAATTTCGAAAATAATCATACGAATTCATACAAACTGATTTCCTTAATTGTGCAGTATAAAATATATGAATACTTAATTATTTACATTAGTGGGGGCTGGAGACATATGTCTCCGGAGATTATCGGAGAAACATCGTTTAAAGTAGGTATGACATCACGAACAAATATTGGCCCGTGCTAATATAACGACTGGCCTATCAATTCTGATGGCATCGCCCCTCGTGACGTACAGTCTGCTGGAACCATTTCGGATCTAACATAATGTCATTGACAGCCGGGAATTAACGACGGGACCCGATACACACGACTAGATACATATGTCTTAAACATATCATTTGTTGTATTCAACCAAGATAAGACGACCAACGAATCTGACCACGCGAAGACATCTATAATTGTGAGCTTTGACTCTAACACTTCTTAGATTCGCTTCATTCATTGTACTAATAATAAGGTGGTATTTAATTCCAACCTGGGTACGGTTAAAGGTTTCAACAGAGCTAGCTTGATTCTTGTACTGATAAGAGAAACGTATTGATCGCGAGGGACGTTTATTATGCGTATGTACACAACCGCAACATACCCTATACGATGACGCGTCAAAACCCCGAATGAGAAGCACGAAGACCCACTAACCGTATTTATGTGCGGCGAAGCCTTTAACTTCAGCAATGATGGCAACTCAAATACGAACCGTGACCAGTCGGCTTGAACATCAGACGGGAGCGAAGTATCCACGGCAGACTAAAACGCTACACACTCTGCATGATATGCTTTGCTATAAAAACAATAGAAACAATCAGACCTGATTGGTCAAAGATTCTCGCAACTAGCAATAAAACCCCGCGCTTGGTGAATACGGGTGGTGAATCGTTATGCATCGCGCATCCGAAATAGTCACCATTCGGCTGTCATAAGAGTCCAAACACCTTGGTACCACAACTTTCGACGGAATCAAACAACATCGGGGTATTTAACCGGTGATCCGCTGTGACGACATTTAAAACCTTGGAACTGTTATAAAGCCATTTCTTCAATTTCACACCAGACTTGGCTAGAACGGATATCAAATCTACTTGAAGAGACAATAGTTCCACCTAAGAATGCACGCCGACGCACACGTCATTAAATTTTAGCCAACTTACGAAGTCGTCGGAAAACTGTGGTAAATGTATTTCAGGGAGGCATGACGCGGGTTTCAAATGACCTCTCTCGAAAATGATATCAATTAAAATCTGCCAGTCCACAGACGCCACGATATTTTTTCGGCATTGAAAAGCGACGGCTTTTGTCACATTTAGGATAGAGCGTACTTCTGGTGCAAAATCTGTGTATTCACTAGTCGCATTTGAGATTAATTAAACAATCGAGGATAGTATTATCTTCCGTTTCAAATTGGAACCAGAGCACATCTAACCCGTCCAAATGTATTAAAAATTCATTGATTTAAGTTGGTTCGTCGGTCACACATGACAACATCGCATGTGCTACACAAATCTAGTCGAATTTGTATTAAAAGGAATTTTATCATTTAATTTTAATATAATGAAATATTTAATATTCAATAACTACCTAATAAAATTGTATTATGTTAAATAAATTGGTTAGATATTTTAGGGTACATCTTAAAATTTAAATTAAATTAAAAAATAAATACCTATAATATGATGATAAAATAATTTCTACGAGGCTTAGTGTGATGGCTGATTCTGAATGTTGTCGCATAATATTTCCCACTGGGGTATACTATTTCAGATAAGCTGATGTGCATGTCTTGTGTGACATTAATCTGTTTCTTTATTTTATTTTTTTTTTTTTTTTGATATTGGCCATAGTTTCAAATCATTATTTATATCAATTAGTAGGAAAAATAAATAATTTTTTATAGCATTTAATTTTCATTATTTTTTTTTTTTTTTATATATAATAATATTTTATTTCTCTTATTTTCTTATTATTCTTACTAATATTTTTTCATTATTTCTATTTTATTATATTATAATCAAAATATGTTTCTATAGGTTGGAAAACACTGATCTAATATATGCCTAGTTAGGTAAAATTATATATCTACCTATGAAACTAATATTGATTAAAAAAAAATAATAACTTAACAATATCAACAACATATTTTAATATTTATTTGGTACCTACAAAAAAAATATAATAATAATACAAACATATTTCTATTTAATTTTATGAATTTGGTTGCCAAGAAAGAACATTTTATTCAATATCAAAATTTGTTTTGAACACCTATCTGACTTCAAAGCCTTCAATATTTTAAAAGTAGTGGTACCATATTAATAGGTAGTGGTTGTTCTGTATTATCACTGTACAACATAGAAATGATCTTTTTTATTTTTCCATAGCATATGTAAGCAACAAATTAAATGTAATTAAATACTAATTAAAATTTAAATGTTTTTTATTAATAAATATTATTTTTAATAACCACAACCAAAATCATATAACCATGTTTAATAATGAAAATAACCAGATTAATCACCAAAATACTCCTAATCATAGAATATATATGTATTCAATAGAATAAAATAATTATCTTTTTATAAACCAAACATAATTATATTTAATTTAAACAACATTTTAATCAACAGTGTTAATAGTAATAATAATAATAATAATACAACTTAAAAGTAACACTAGGTAAAAAGTATTCACTTAAACTGAATACTAAATATAAACAGTAATTTTTTCAAACTTTAACAACATTTTACCATTATTAAATACATAATATTTAGTTTAAAAATTACAAGGAATGATAATAACCACATTTTTTTTTTTTTAATTGAATGCAGATTACAATTTTTTTCACGCATTATATTATATAACAAATATTTATAAATTCTATTTTTATTCACTATATATGGATTAAAAGAATCATTTTTATGGTACAAGTATCCTTCTAAAATTTGAAACAATTATTCTTTTGTAAAGGTAATCTAATTTATTCACCAAATGTTTAAATTTAAATTTTATTTAAAAAATGTAAGTACTTGTTGAAAACAAAAACAACCCATGATTACATAAACTATACACAGGTACTAAAAACAAAATAGTTTAATGACACAAATTCAATATTAATAAATTTAAAACTGAATACTTTATGTTACTGACTTTCTACAAGGTTCATTAAGTACTTTATTTGATAGTATAGAGATCAAAAATTATGAATATCTAATAATATTATATTATTTTAATGATTAAGAATACAAAATTATAAAGGAATGGATTTTTTTTTTTGAATACCTAAAATATGTTCAGGTTTCCTCAGTGAAAAAAAAATAATAAGTACAAATATCTTGATCAAATTTGAAAAATTTGCAAAAATTAAAATTAAGGCATTAAGTTTAAAAAAAAAAAATGGATCATGGCTTATGAGTAAATAAACCAAAACAAACAATTTTTTATAAAAAGATATATGAAGAAAATAATATAAAATTGATTATAACAAAACAACAATAATTACAAATAATAATAACATTGTTGAATAAATCTAAGCACTATGCTATTTACATAAAACATAATATAATGAAACAATGATCCTATTTGTACATTTAATCATTAATCATTATATAAAATATTATAATAGAACATAATTATCTTCTGGATATTGATGAGCACACACCAAACACCAAAGTATAAATTAAATAGTTAACAATCTACAATAAATGTATGTATTATTACTTATTCAAAGTCTACAATATTTTAATCAGAAAAATTACACTATTTAAAAAAAAAAAAAAAACCTCACTAATTTAATTTCCATAATTGCCAAAAGTGATCACAGTGAGTTATAAGAAAATAACAGTCAACAATATTTTCTAAACAAAGATATTTAAATTTTATATTTATTATTTTTAATATATTTTTTTATAAAATATGATTGAACATATACTGTATGTAAGTACATTACAGTGAGGATTTTGGTAGGACAACATAATTTATTACTATAATTATTATTATACTTCATAACTCTAATTAAAAATTTAAAACTTATTTCCCAAAAATACAATTTAAAAAAGCTGTTTTTTTTTTTTTTTTTGCCTTTATAAATCAGATTACATGGAAATGAAATTTAAAAGTGGAATCCAAAAAAACAATTTTTAGTTGATAAATCGAGGTTTTCCTTGTAACTTGTCTAAAATACATACATTTCATGATTAAATTACTAAAAAAATAATTATAATTGTTATAGCCCCCCTCCATGGAGTTATAACTTCCTCCATGACCTTAACTTCCCCCAAACCTTTCTAACTGTATTCCATCAAAACAACCACTAAAACATTAATTTAATTTAAAATTGGTGAAACAAAAAAAAAAATTGATTGAGCATTTTTTTTGATACCTGCCTTAGGTATAAATTGCATATAATGTGTATATAAGCTTTTTTTTAAAATTAAAAAAATATATATAATATATTTTGAAGATTTTAAACATAGTATAAGTGATAACAATATAAACAAATAAATGGAATAGAAATATGAACTTACACGTATTTTACATAATATAATTATAATGATTCTAATTAAAATAGTTTATAGTATGTATGAAAAACTAAAACTAAAATGTCATCACTGTATTAAAATAGTATAACTTTGATGGCAATTTCTTTTAGATCACTTGTTATTTTATAAAATAGGTGATATCCCATGGAAGATGTCAGATTGGTATAAAACTACTTGTCATTTTTGACAGAAAAAAAACCTCCTATATTTTAAATTATAACTGATTTTGTATGAAAAATATTTAATTAACCAATTTGTTTTTAATAATCTACCAAAACATAGACAAATTTTATTTTTATTCAAAGGATATTTGTTACAAAAATATATTTACAATAGTCAATTTACAAAAAAACTATTTATGTGATATAAATCAAGATAATCTGATTAAAGATTTCACAGTACAAGAACCAGGATTCTGGACAATCAAAATCTAAAATGTGTATTAAATTATTTTAGAAAAAAATAAATGTATATTATTTTATACGGTTCACCCATATTATATCTTTATTAGATAATTTTACTTAGTGTGATTATAATAAATTATATTCAGATAATTCATATTATATTTATGATACATTATATTAGTCCTATTATTTTTATACTCAATAAATGTATAATGATGATTAATTTAAAAGTGAAATGAAAACAAATTGTCTAAAAGAATGCAAAATCAAAGTTTCAAAATCTAAAACTCAGTTTTTAAATACAATTTTGACATTGGATTCGGCAAATCTGGATTTTTCCCAACACTGTTATAATGCAGACATTTTTATTTTAGAATATATGTGATTTTATTAAATGTATTTTCATATGAAATCCATTTTGCATATAGGAAGCTATTTCCATCAATGATGACTTAATAAAATAAATAAAAAAATGTTCTATAATGACTTTATTTTTCAACATGCTTTTGCAAATTGACATAAAATAGGCTATAAAGTGTTTGATAATTAAACATTTACCTATATAATATATTACTAAACTACATAAAATAACTACATATTTTACTAGAAATCAATTTCCTACAACCCATTCTAATGTTTAAAAAATTTTACACAGATAAACTACTAACATGATAAATTAACATATTCACATAATTGAACAACTGTACACTATTCTATAATTTGTTGAACAGTATTTTACAAATAATCCATAAGTCTACTTCTATTTTTAAACAAGAATTATTTTATATTTTCTAAAACTGGCAGATTTAATTAATATCTTAATTTAATGGTATAGTGCAAAAGTGTGATGGCATTTAACAAATTTTTCAGTAGAGGCAATTGAAAGTTTATATTTCCATATAAATCAGTAATAATATATTTCATCTAGTGGATTATATATTAAAGGTACACATACAACATTTGTACATTATATGAAAAATAAAATGGTGAGTTTTATAGAGTACTTAACTCATTTTAACTAAAAATATCACTTATCAAACCTGTTCACTATACCATAGTTTTACTGATTTTATATTTAAAAACCAGCAAAATGCCTAGTTTTATCCATTTTTTTATTTTTTATGAAAATATTAAAAAATCTGTACTTATTAAAATAAACCCATTTATAATCAAAGTAAAAATGAAAACAAATAACAAAATAAACATGTTGATTGATTTACGCATTATTTACATCATTCAATTTTATGAATATATTTTTATCAAGTTAATTCATTTATTGAATGCAATAATCTTAAAGATTTAAAATCATATTTTATTTTTTTTTAAATAAAATTAGACTTATGGAACTCTTTGAACATCAACTGGATAACTAAAACAATTATAATTTGTTAGCTAATTTATGTATTGTTTTTTTATTGTTTATTATAAGTTATAATAAAAAAAAACAAATATATATTCCTAACAAATTTTGATGATTCATATTTTGCTTTTAAAACTGGACAGTAAAAATGATTAAGGTAGTAGAAAATATTTCCGAGTGCCAAATTTTTGAGATAAATATATCATAAAATATTCAAATCAACTGACTTTATTAAAACCATCTTAAGATAATAAATAAATAAATAAAATTAACAATACTTAAAGTAATTTACAATACTTAAAAATAAACTTGGACAGATTAGTTAAACTTATTGCACCTGATGGATTTGATTTCAACAAGGAAAGATAAAACACACTATATATAATAACATATGCAGCTATCTTTTAAATTAGATTACTTAACTTTTAAGTACAAAAAAAACTATCTGAGAAATGGATTGTTATTTTCTTTTTCTAAAATGAGTAAATAAGATTTTTGTAATACCTCAAAATCAGGCAGCTTATCTAAAATAGTTTGTGCTTCAAGGCTTATTTTGACCTCATCAGTAGGTGAATTTTCAATGGATTCAACAGATTGATTTTTAGAGGACACATTAAATATACTATTGAAAATATCTATACTTTCTGGACTACTTTGAATGGATACTTCTTCATTAACAAGTATTTCTTCATCTTTCATAACATATTTTTCTTCTTCTTCTTTTATGAGTATTACTTCTTCTTTCACTGGTACTTCTTCTCCTTTCACTAGCTCAGATATTTTCCATGTTTGAGGCTGAACTGAAATGATTAAACATAGAATTAAAATGGAAAATATAAGCAAACAAAATGAAAACTAATAATTTTAATAATTAATTTAATAATAAACTAGTTTGTAAAAATAATGTATACATTTTGATATTGGTCTAAAAGAAAAATTGAACATTGTTAAAGAGTGTGTATGTCCACCATAGTGTAACACACCATTATGTTCATATTTATTATCAATTTTTTTAAACAAAAAATTGGATGTTGTATTATTTGATACTTCTGTAAACTGCTAATATGTCTTTCTTATGCAGTTAAAAACTAATGCCAACTAATATTTAGTTGTAAGTACCAGAAAAATGTCCTTAATTTGTTTAAGATAATTTAGTTTTCACAATTATTTAATTAATTAGCTGTTATTGCTAAAAAAAAACCCTACAAGATATCTAATCTTGAAAATTAATAGTATATGTTTTGAATTAAATTAAAAACTAAATTTGTATACACTATCTAAAATATTTAGTTTAAGAACACAAAAGCAAAGCAATAAATGTATAATATTTAATATGTTAATATACATATACAAGCAAAAACAGAAATACTCACAAGTGTTTTTACAGCATGGTGCATATTTGTCGAGAATTTGAAGGTCTAGTAATGATGAATGGTTACCTATGATAAGCCCATAATAAAATATCCATTTTTAGCACTACCACCATTGTTAAAAATTATTATAAAGCATGAATAAAAATGTAAATTAGTGTAAGACAAAAGCACCATCATTGAAATTGCATTTGGTCTATAACAGATACAAAAGATTATCCCAATTAATTGAATCTTCCCATAAAAAAAATATAACAATAACACCATTCCTGGAAAACCTCATAAACATTTTTGCACACTCTCAGTAAAAAAATTTTAATAAAATATTGATATAAGTATACAAATAATAACTAAAGTTTAATAATGGCACAGTGTGACTTAATTTTCCTGTTAAATCATGTCAACCACCCTTTATAAAAAAAATTCAATTTTATATACACATTGTGTGTAACTTTTAAATTTGAAAAAAAATCAATATATATATATATAAATTATAAATAAATAAATACATTATCAATTATATATTAATGCATCATTAAATTATGTAAGCATATGAACTAAATTTGGAATGTATTATTTTTACATTGATGAGTACAAGTTATGTCTCATTAGTGCGGTTGAAAGATAATTGTTTGAAATTATAAGTTTTTTAAATGTAAGAATCCAGAAAAACCTGGAATAATTATTATGGAATTATTCAATAACAGTTTTTATTAAAAGTATTTTTTTTTTTTTTTGTAATCCAATGAGACTTTATTTAGAGATTTAAGTACTATATTAGTATTTTCTAGGTGTGGTTCAATTTTAAAAACTAGTTTGTGATGTTTGAGTTATAAATATTAATATTTAAATATAAATATTTGAAATTTTCGAGTTTATTTGGATTAATTTTATGAGAAAATTGTAAAAACTATCAATATTCTGCACACTTTTATTTGATTTATGTCAATGAAAACATTTTTCTAGGTTTGTGTAATATTTAAAAATTCTATAAAATTATTAAAAATACATTTGAGGTTTATGTTCCAAAATTTAAATTTAATCTTAATCATAATCAAAATATCACATAGAATAGTCCTGTACTTGCAATATGATTATTTAATTTTTTTCAGAAAATGTAAAGTATTATCTTGTAGATAATGCTAATGTGATAAGATATTATGCTAACTATAACTTAAAAATTATAAAAAAATTAAAAATAATTAAATAATTAAACAATTAAAATAAAAAAATTATAAAAACAATATAAATAGTAATCCAAAATCTATTTTAAAATATATTCAATTCTTGAAATCAAACTAACATTCCTTCTACCATATAAATAACAGGTCCCGATGAAATTCCTTAATCATTTTGAAAAAGCATGTAAATCAACCTAAATTAAACCTTAAATTTGCTTATTTAACTTGTCACTCACTACTGGGCATTTTCCTCGTATTTGTTAAAAATCATTTATTATGCCTATTCATAAATCTTATGACAGAAGCAATATACAAAATTATTGGTTACTCCCAAATAATTTAAGACAATTATTTCTAAAATATTGACAATCTTACTGATAAAATATAGAGGCTTCTCCGACATAGCATTCTATTAAAATATTCTATTCTAATGAATACATTAACCTATCAAATATATCTATTATAAATTGTATGAACAAAATTGTCAAAAAGATACAATTTACACTGATTTCTAAAAAACTTTCAATAAGGTTAACTATAAAACAATTTTTAGTAAATTGTATAAAATGTTATGCTTTATTATTAGGAATACTCAACATTTTTAAATAGACCTCAATCTTCAAATAATTATATTGATACAATACATATTATACATTATGTTGATCATCCCTTGAATTTCATCTCAAAACTTAACAACATATTTAAAAGATCTTAAGTTAGTTCAATACAAATTTTAAAAAGTATTGCTTATGTCACTAATACACTTTATCTAAAACTAAGAAATCAACTTTCTGATATTTTATTTATGTATGATTTATTAAATGGCTACATTAATTGTCCACATTTACTGGCTTTAGTAGGACAAAAGGTACCTACATACTTTTTCAGAACCCATGATCTTTTTATTAGTCTTTACCGTTGTAAAAGTTATGTTGCAGATTCATTTTTTCTGTTTACTAATAAAACTTCATCATTGGACTTTTTTTGTTTTTTTATTTTGAGAGTAATTTAAGCTTAATCTTATACTTATATTAAAAAGTTGTATTATATAATGCAGGCATGGCAGGGCTCGGAACTTTTTGCTGAAGCCCTCGAAATATATTTCATGGTATTTAAAATTTTAATTTTGTGTGGTGTGGTTTTGGACCGGTTTTTATTTTACGAAATAAAATAAATATTTTTATGTCAGAAAAGGGTAAAAATGTACCAGAATTATCGAATAAAAAGTGTGTCATAATCTTGCATTTTTAACTGATATAACAACTTTATTAAATGAACTGAATATGAAACTGCAAGGTAAAGACAAATTGTTGTCAGATATGTATTCAAACATAAAATTATTTCAAGTAAAATTAAAATTATTACACAAACATATTAATGAACAGCGTTTGGATTATTTCATATGTTGTAAAATTGTATTAGAATCACCCAAATCAACTTTACATTTGGAAAATTAATTTTGTTGACAAAAGAATTTGATTCTTCTGTTGACATTGACGATGTTGAATCTAATTTACATATGGAAGTCATAGAAATGAAAAACAACGATGTTCTTAAAAATGCTTTTAAAGAAAGTAATGGTCTAAAGATATATTATTTGAGTCTTTCTGAAATAGGTTTTAAAGGCATTCAAAGTTTTGCTAAAAAAATTATTACTGCTTCGGTAGCACTTATATTTGTGAGCAAACATTTTTACAATACTTGAATTTCGGAAAAATAAATATTGTTGGGAAAAATTTAACTTCAAAAATCACACTAGTAGATATTAACTAAATATTTATTTACTTTTGCATTCAAGAATTAATTAATAATTATTTTAAAACTTTTAATTTATCTCTACTAATGTATTTAATTAAAAATTAGTTAATAAGGACAACAGCAATGTTAAACTCATAATATGATTGTTGCTATCCTTAAATATATTAATATAATATGTAAAAATTATATTTTTTAATATTTTAATTTTGTATGCGGCTCTCAATGAAAAACTGAAAAAAATTATGGCCCATGTAGGTAAAAGGGTTGCCGACCACTGATAATGTATTTGTTTTTACATTTAATTATTTTTCCAGTTATTTAATTTATTTCAATCATTAACAATTATTATATTTAAGTTATATTATAAGGACTTATAACCATCAAATCTATTAAATAAAAAATTAATTAATTTGTAAATATTTAGCATTATAAAAAAAATGTAATGGTAATATCATTATTTTTTTATATCTAAAAGAGTTAAAAGTTCAAAAGAAAAAATTTTAATTAATTTTTTAGTTACAAAATATTATTATTTTCAATTTAAATTTATCAAATTTGTATATGAAAATAAATTATCAAGTATAACGTAAACAAATGTATCTCTATACATCAGATCTTCCCAACTTTCCACTTATACCAGTAACCTACCATAAAGTAGTGATCATGACTTTTTTTTTATAATACTATTTTAACAATGGTGATATTGTTTAAGAGGAAAAATATTTTATTTTGATTTAATTTATTAATTTATTATCTTAAGGCTAGAAATATGATAAAAATAAAAATGTTTCAAATTTCAATTAATCTTACCATAAAAGAATTTACTAAACAGAAATAGAAAATGGTTTACTAAAATAAAATTCTATAATAAAAAAAAATTTGAAGTATTATACTTTCAAGCTAAGTTAATTTAGTTTATTAATTATTTATATTTATATTTTATATGATTAACTTTTTAAAAAATGTAAATTTATCAATAATAAATTGTAAATCTAATTAATTAATTAATTAATCTTATTATTTTATTTTTTTTAAATACCTACTATATTATGGACATTAATTATTGTCAAATATGTAGTTAAATTAATTTAAAATTGTTTATAATAGGTTTTTGAAAAGGTATACTGAATTATATATATATAAAAAAATAATAGAAATTATTGTTCAATTTATATTAAGACATTTATGGAATACTTACAGTCCAATGGGTTTATCAAACCACTGCTTTTCCAATCAAATTGAACATCTGGTATGGTTACGGTTACATTTGCCTTTATCATAATATACAATTTTACTTAAAAATATCAGAAATTTTGTTTTAAAATGTTTATTAAGTGAATTTTAATTCACCTGCAATGAACCGCTGGAAAAAGATGATAATATTTTGCTATCTGTGATATTGTTATTAGTAGATTTTAATGGCTCTAATGGATGGTCAGACATATTTGCAGCAAATCTAGGGAATTTTGGATTCCAAAAAGCACCATACAACTGTCACATTTATATTTAACATTAATAAAAAAAACCAACATATTTACAATTAAACCATTGATAAAAAATTCTAATTGACTTACTATGTTTCTAGAATCAATTGAAAGCGAAGAGAGAAAAACATTGTTTGATTCTGATTTTGACCAATTATATTTAAGAGCTGGACTTGATTCTATGTCTTTTAAATGTTGCCACACTAATGATTCATTTAATTCATGTTCCAAATCTTGTAAATTTATTTCATTGCATTGGGTCTAACAATTAAATATTATTTTTAATCATAAACAAATTTGTCATCTATTTACATTAAAACACTTACATAGTCTCCATAAAAAGCATCCTCGCAAAATTTTTTATAATCAATTTGAACTTGAGACTTTGAATCTAATACTGTATTAAATTGTTTATCATTTAAAACTTGAGATTCAAAATCACAAAAATTATCTTCATCATTAATTATATTGCAAGTAATATTATTTTGATTGTTGGATTTTAATGTTAAATTATTATCATCATTATCACATTTTTCTTTTTTATTATTGGAATGTTCAAAATTATTTTCAGTACTAATTTCTGATATATTAGGTTCATCATAATTTGTAAATGCATGAAAATCACAGAAATCATCAAATTCAGAATCTAAGTTATCATCAACAGTGTTTTCATTATTTTGTTCTATATTTGTGTTTACTGAACTAGAAGAATTTTGTGGTATTTTCGAGTTGTTATCATTAAACTGTACAATTTTAATTTGATCAGGGTTATGATACTTGTCAATTGATTCATGATTCTCAAATATTTCTATATGTTCTTCAGATGTCCTATTTGGTAAAGGCACATTAAGAGAATTAGGTAATTCAGTTTCAAAATCACTATATTTTAGCTGATCATTTTTAATTATAATGTTGTTATTATTACTATTAACTGATACATTATTTAACATATTGTACGCAGCATCAGTAGCAAAATCACTTACATTATTCTTCATATTTTCTAATAAAATATTAGGAACACAACTGGTTTGATTTGAAAATTCTTTAATATTTACACATTCTACATTTCCATTGACTGATGTATTTTTAAGGGACGATTTTTCAGAGTTAATATTGACTTCATAATCATTATTCTTAATATTTTCAACTATACTAAAATTCTTTAATGGAAGTTCCACTTTTTTCAAATACTGTGGCGTTATATTACTTGTAATATTTTCTATGTCTCCAATATTTTGTTCAACTATGACAGACAATTTCTCATCAATTTTAGTACTACTATTTATCACATTATTTTCAGAAGAAGTATTATGTTTGATTTCTGTTTTGTAGTCAGTACTATCACAAATATGATTGCTCGTTAATTGCTTAATATTTGTACAGGGTATAATATTTTCCTTATCTTTCCATATGGGTAAATTATTATGATGTAAACTATTTTCGTGTTGAGAAATTGATGATTCTAAAAATTGATCTTTTTTTGCAACACCTAAAGACCAATTTGGTAAACTGTCATTGGTATTCGATTCAATATAATCTACTGGTTTGTCAACAAAATCTGAATCATATGGCAGAGATTCAATATGATTCCATCTGCCTGGGATTCCATCTGGACCTGTACACCAATAGAACATAACATTAATACTCACAATTATTACAACATATTATACCTAAATTATTGAATTCTCACTTAAACTATTATCGGATGGCATTTCTAAATGTGGAAAATCAATAAATTCATCATCGTCTTCCCAATCAGATTTACTCATGGGAGGTGGAGTTTCTGATATTAGAGGCGGTATGTCATCAGACATCTTATCTGACAAACGTAATTAACGTTTATTTAATGTTGATTATTTAATTAAATTACTTAAGGTACATGTACTTACAGTTAGTTCAGAATTATCATATCTTGCACAATCGAAATGGACAATCAATGAAAAAAAATGTAAGCCGAACACTACTACAAACAAATGATAAAGATTAATGGGTGGATATTATATGATTACGTTAAAACAAAAATAAATAGTAAATAATAAGAAAATTAAAAAATATATAATAAAGAAAATACAAACAATGACGATAATCCGATTGTCACGAGTACTGTAGTAAAATAATCTCAAATTCTCAATTGTCGAATTATAATCATATTATTCATTACATGATAAAAATATAAAAATGAGTTTCTAAAACCAAAATTTTCGACCTTGGTTATATAATCTTTACTTATCAGTTATCACCAAATTTGCAATTGATAAAGATGTCGATGATAAAGTAAAAGTACTTTGTTAATATTGTAATAATATGAAGGTAATTATTATTAATATGTTAAATAATATTCAAATTTAACCTAAAACCATAAATTAAAACAAAACTATTGCTTCATTGATGATTTTTTTTTTATTTTTATAATATTCTTAATAGGTAATATCTAGGCCTAGGATTTATATGAAATTTTATGTGTTCTTTTTTCTACATCTAAATGAAGTTTTAGTGAGTAATAACCATGGTTTTTATTATTCTGGTGAAAATGGTACAATTTTTATTTAATAATTATAGATATCTTAAATAAAATTTATATTATTGTAAATTTTAACTAAAGACACAAAAATTGTATGTTTTATAGCATACTTATTACTTAGTTACATAACTTAAAATTAAATATTATCTACAGAATAATACCCAGTGTTATTTTAATTTCTACCTTAGTATTTGAGTCGTATTTATTTTCGTAGGTACCTATTTTATCCATTTACCAGTTTATTTTTACAAAAATGACTTATTGTACAACTGTAATGAACAGCTACTGGCTAGTTAGTACCTAGTTGTTAGTTTGTGTTTTGACCTAGTTGTTATTGTATATATATATACAAAATTGTACATTACCGTGTTGTTTGTGAATCGTATTCATTTTGTTATTTAAAATGCCAAAAATACAAAGCGCCTGTACAAAACTGACAGTATATTGTAGAATTTCTTGGTACAGTTTTCAAAACCGATTGGAAAACACTTGTAATATTTGTGACCAATAAGCAGTTTGAACAAAGCTTTCAAGCAATTCAATATTTAAATACAGTAAAACTCAGTAATTCAACAAGAAAAGATAAAAAAATAAAACAAATATTTTCAAAAAAATCATTCAGTGATATGCATTTTTGTATTGCTTATTTTGAACAAATCGATTGCATAGTTTTTTATTTTTTTATTGTATGTAAATCCTAGGCCTAGTAATATCTAACAAAATATCAAATGTGTATGCTAGGCACTAAACTAAGAATTTTAATTTTATTTAATGAACTATTAATTAGTTAATGCAGGTATTGTGTATGTTTCAAATCAGAAGAAACAGTAGCAGATATCCTATATCTCAAGTCTTTTGGTGATCAAGATTTGTATTAAATAATTTTGTAATATTTTACAACTACCTACCTATTAATCATATGGGAAGTTAGTACTAATTAATTTGATAATATGTTTAATAACTTAATGTTTTTTTTAAAACAGAATTACATTTTTCAAAATATTTCAAATAATTTATGGTGCAACATAATAACAATTTTACCATTAAGATCAATATAAGAAACAGCTACGAAACAATTTTTAAACACATTAATGTATGGTAGGAGAAAATACATACCAGCCATGTTTATTTTGTGTTTCAAAAGCACATAGAAATAAATTACTTGAATAATTTAAGTAACTTAAAAAAGAAGTCCTAGTATAATGGGAACGGATGCAACTGCTGTTATAGATAATTCAATACATAGCTGTGAGAAACAATAAACCATTACTTCTGAAAAAAAACAATTCTGAGCGGAGTTCAATTGATAGTGATGCTTTGTCAACAATATATACGTTATTTTATAGTAAACTAATTAAATAGGCCTTATATATTTTCTTTAATAAAATTTGTTTAATGCAGTATCGATTTTCCCAATTTTCCTAAGTTTTTCAAGGTCTTCCCTTGTTTTTTTTCGGTTTATCACATTTGCTGGGAAAACTCCAGAGAAAATCGAAAAAAGGCCTCTCTAGTGAAACTTCCTTTTAGAAACTTTGCTACCATTAAAGTTGGAGCAAAATTGGTGGTAGAAAAGTTATACACAGGAAAAAACAATTTAAAGTAATATATTTCATAAATTTAACTGTTTTTTTCGGTTATTCATATTTAATGGGAAAACTCCAGAGAAGATCAAAAAATGATCTACCTAAGGTACTTCTTCATTCCGATTTCCTTTCAGAAATGCTATATATGAAAATCCGAGTAAGTTTTCTGGTAGAAAAGTTGTACACAGATAAAAAAGAAAAAAATTAACATCTTTGTTAAACTATATGACTTTTTGCTCCACTCAGAATCTAAAATAAAATAAAATTACTTACTAAATGTGTATAATATTTTTTTTAGGGAACAATAATTGTTCAACTTGGTTCACATCCTCTAATGCTTTCAATGGATAGTTTGAAATAAAATGGTCATCAAATTCTGCTGTTATTTTGCCACCAAGTTGTTCAATACAATCATCTTGTAGTTTTTCTAACAAACTAATAATTTTTTTCTTGGTTACTAAATAACTAACCAATATTTAAATTAATAGGTACCAACTACAGTTTTTTAAAATTACAAATTTTTTGATCTAGAATCAATTTTAAACAGAGACAAATATTTTAAGTAGAAACAATTTTACAATTTATAACATAACATTATATGGAATAAGTAACTCTTTTACTATTACCAAGATCAATCTGATAACTAGTAAATACTGTGTCAATAACAAAAATCAAATTTTATTATTCTTTATTAATTTCTTTTAAAAATAATATTCTTATAAGCAATATAATGATTATTACATAAAAAGCAAAACAAATGTTTAAGCTCCCTTCCCCTAATGATTAAAAAATACCCAAAATCAACAATTTAAATAGAATACATATGTATTTAGATTTATATTAATTGAATCTGATACATCCGGTTGCAGTATCATGTCAACTGTAGTTCATGATAATTATCTAAATAAAGAAATATGAATAATATAAATTAAAAACTATTTTACCTACTTTAAACTATATAATAATAACTTAATATTGATTCAGATATTTCAAAACTTCGTATTTGTCAAATGTTTTGTACTAAATGACGATTTCTATACAAATTATGAATGTTATTAGTTGTATTAATTGTTTTTTGGTTATTAATTATTGATTTTGAACTTCATTATCAATTTTTGATGAAAATCCACAGTTCTGTGTGTTCATGAATGGCATTTCTAATGCAGTCTTCATTATTTTAGAATCTATTAAAAAATATGTCTATTTAATTAAATACAAAAAAATAAAAAGCATCAGGTACCTATAACAATGAGTCAATTTAAGATTTTTTTTATTTTATAAAATTTAAAAAAAATCACTTAAATGATTTAAGTAGTTAATTGACCTTTAAGTTATACAATTTCAAATTTTCGTTTTCTCTAAGAAAATCGGGCACATTTACTTTATTGAACCNCTGTGTGTTCATGAATGGCATTTCTAATGCAGTCTTCATTATTTTAGAATCTATTAAAAAATATGTTCGGTTTTACATGTTTTAAAAGGCTGTAATATTTACAAATTTCGTCAAAATTTGATTGTAAAATTCGTATGCATAGTCTTGTATACAGCATAATAAATTAAATACATTCTTTGCTACACTATGAATCTAAAATCTATCAATGTAAGACATTTTGAGTAGAAGTACCTGGTATATTATTATCAATGAAATCAACAAAATTCTAACTTCTTCAGAGATAACTCATTTAAACATGAAGCAGGAATAGTATACTTAAATTTGAGCATATTTAATAGATTTAAATGCTTGAAGACTTGAACTTAGTTATATTTTTGTTTGCATCCATTACAACAATTTAATAAATACTATATCAAATATATTTATATTAGGTATAATATGAAATTAAATACTATAACTTGTATTAACTTGAAATTTGTGTTGAGGTTACTGCAAGTATATCATTAATACCACCCATAAAATCTTCAGTATGGACGGTATTATAAATGGTCCTGGACTGAGTTTATTTGACAGCATTGAACAAGAGATAGCAGGAGTAGGATATTTTATATGCTTAGGGAAGGGTACCTTATTTTATTTTGAGAAAAGGTATCAACTTAGTTTGTCATCTGACAATGAGAATGAATTTTTTTTCGCTGGTGGCAAATTTTTTTTACTTAATTTTCATCTGCACTGATGTCACTAGAATATCTTATATAATAATCTAATTTTTTTTTCAATATCATATCCAGATTGAGTAATAGTATTTACTAAATTATTTTACTCTTTTTTGGTTTTAACTCCATTTGCATAATAGAAATTATTGTCATCAATTTTCCAATATTTATTTACTATTTCTAAACTATCATGCAATTGAACAATGATGTAATTTATAAAAAATGTACAGTTTTATCTATCATGATTTATTACTAGTTTTATTGAAAATGATAAACATATACTTATTACCTATACAACCTATTCACAAAATTTACATAATTGCTAATTGGTATTAGTATTTGATAAATTCAGATATATCATATTTACCCTAATACAGCATAGGAAACACTGTATAGAAAAATTAATTTTCTGGCATCCTATAAAGATTATTTTTATTTTTAATCGTAGTAATTGGCCAGTATCATTGAACAGAAAGTTTTTCTACTTTATATCTTAGATAATATACATTGTATATGATCTAAACTTTATATATACCTAATAAAGATGATAGACAAGGTTCATTTTATAAATATACTTTGTTTAGAAACTTTTTACCAATAATAACTGTACAGTTTTGATTTTTCAAACATACATTATTATCAACTGTAACTATATCTCCATTAATTAATGTGCAACAGTGGTCTTTTAGAATAATAATAAATTCTTTCAATTGTTTACTTGTATAATGTGGATTCCATTCGGAATAAATTTATCAAAATGTTGTTTCCTAAATATATACTCTTTTTTTTTTACTCCACATAAACATTTCATAATTTCTTTATGTATTCTTCTTCATCTTTTTTTATTATCTTTAATATCTTTCCATATAATTTTCATACTTAATAGTAGAAAAATTATCAAATAGTCTATAATTTTCTAAATCTTTAACTATATGCAATAAGATATTATGAGACATCTGATAGATTCCAAAAATCTCTTAAAACCCCTTCACAAAATGGAGCAATACATTATTGCTATAGTTTATAAATTAATGTTCAACACAATATTTATTTGAACATAAAATACGTATTGCAACATGTAAAGATAAAAGGATAGTGTACACTTATTTATTTAAAATAAATTTAAGATACCTACTTTTATAATCAATATTTAATTCTTAGATAATATATTATTATATTTATGATAAGTAGATTGTATTAGTTATGTATTTTTTAAATTGTTTTGAGTTAATTTATGGAAAAAACAAAAACTAATTTAATAATTTAGTTTCGATTTTATGAAATCTAAAATAACGTTTTTAAAATAGATAAGTACCTACTATATTCATTTTAAATTCAGTCTTTTTTTTTAATAAAAAAAAAATTGGTTGGCTATTATTTCATTGATAAGCTGATCAAATATCCCTGCTCCCCATCAAAAACTGAAAGGATTCCATTGTGGGAAAAGTAGGATGATGATACCTGTGATATAGTATGGTTTGATATGAAGTATGCAGTACGAAAAAGTATTTATTTTAGCTTCTGTTGCACTATATCTATATATATTGTATAGTTTATAATTTGTAATATTTGATTTAAATCTATAATTTGTAACTCTCTGCTTCCAACACAAACTCCATTTAAAGGAGGTACCTAGATATAAAAATATAATGTAATGTAATATTGTTTCAATAATGAAAAAAGCTATACTAGGATAATGAGAACGAGTACAGCCACTGTTGTAGGTGGGAAGTTGGGAAGGTAGGATACAGAAGGGAATTCCATTGCTAACGAAAAAGCGATTCTCAGCGAAGTTCAGTTGATGGTGATACTTTAACAATATATGTATGTAATATTTTTATTGGTAAAAATTTAATTAGGCATGATATATTTTCTTTAATATTTGTTTAATGTTGTACCGATTTTCCCGTTTTTCTTACTTTTTCCCGGTTTTTCACATTTGTTGAGAAAACTCCTTGGAAAATCGAAAAATATTTGATATTCAACAATATTTGAGTTTTTATATTTTCTTCTCTCTTCTATCATTTCAATAATCTCTGGCGTTATCCATTCCTTGGTAGTGTGCCTTTTGTTTCTATCATTGTTTCATTTGCTGCATTTGTTATTGATTTTCTCAGGTAAATCCATCTGATGTTAATGTCCTCTTCTTCTTGTATTTTTATTTTATTTATGTGTTCTTTCAACTTTTAATTTACTTTTTCTTCCTTTAATTTATTGGTTTGCCATCCATTGGTGTTTTTTCTTCTTTTAATGTTTTTGAATTTAAGATTACATTTCATCATGACTAAATTGTGGTCACTGTCTATATCCATACCAGGATAACTCGGACTATCTTTGACTTGGTTTTTGAATCTATTTTTCACCATAACGAAATCTATTTGGTACCTTCCCACATATGGCAGTTTCCATGTATACCTTCTCCTTGGATGATGATAAAAGCATATATTCATTATTATCAGGTCATGTTTTTCACAAAATTCAACCAACTTATTACCACAATCATTTATTTTTCCAAGTCCTTATTTCCCATAATGTTTTTTTTTTTTTTTCTATTAATATTGTATTCCAGTCTTCCATAATGATTAATTATATGTTACAACTTATACATATTGTTATTTTTATTTATTTACTTAAATTTTTATATTTTATGAAGTATTAATCTAATACAATTTATTTTATTATATATAAATATATAATATTTTAGTATTTGTGCTAGCATGTACCTATATAATAAAATATTTACTTCAATGTGAACTGGCTTTTATTAATGAAAGAACTGCTAGCAAACTAATCCACAAACATGGCAACTCAATTCCCATTTGCTGCTAAATGATATGCTTGGACATTAAATATGTGACTGCTTTATTCTGAAATAATAAAGTCAAGAAGAAATTCAACATAACACAGGTTATTATATCATACCTACATTTTTTTTTCTGAACTTAAAAAAAAGTTATGCGTCAAAAATAAATTCTATCAGCTTTCTCAGCTCTCTCATCAAATTTGTTTTTTATTAAAACATGAAAAATTAATTGAAATATAATTACTTTTAGTCTTTAGCCCTGTGAATATTATACATAATAAATAATACAATAGGTATATCTTCATGGGACATCCTGTATACAGTAATTCACCTCAAAAATAGTTTTGTATAATTTTCTTTATTACTGTGTTAGTGGTACTTAAAAATTACAAGAGTGACAATTAAAAAAGCAATATCCACTGTTATGTGGTAAACAAAATGAGAAAATAGGTTTGTATGACACATGCATTTTTGTTCCGATTTTTTTTTTTTTTTTTATGAAATTATAATATTATCACAAATTGGTCAAATACATAATAATGCATATTTGTACTTAATACATTTATTTATTAATTCTAATATTATTTAATTTGATTAAATCTATAATTTACTAAAAGGACTAGTGAACAGTGAAAGTAGATTAAACTGGCAAATTACACAAGATATTTAATGTAGGTGAATTAAAATTTACTAATATCATATTATTTCATGTATTCATTACGATATAAATTATCCAACCATAATCAAAAATTGTCACTAATAGTGTCTTTTTTTAGAAAGAGCGCTCACTTTACATGAATTAGAATATAGTACACAAAACACCAAAGTTATATTCGAGCACTATCTGTTAGTGCAAGAATGAAGAAGTTTTAAAAAACAAATGATGCGTGCAGAGTGTGTATCCTATGTATCTTAATTTGTGAATATAATTTAAGAAATAATTAATATTTACTAACTAATATACATACGTATATATATATATATATATATTACTAGTAAGCTTATATAATATAGTCAATGGTCTTATTAAAAAAAAAAAAAATGCAATTACTATAAAGAATTTTAAAATAATAAACTTATAGTGATAGTAATAACATGATATCAATTCTGATAAATCATTAATGTATTTTAACAGTTTTTTTTTTTAGGAAAAAAGCTTTATTGTGAAAAATTACAATCTATACAATTTTTACAATAAGTAATATTAATATTTACAGACAATTGAAATAATATATTTATATACACATGAGGAGGAAACCACACATTGTGATACTTCTAAAAGTTTATAGTTACTTAAACCTTAATTTAATAAATCAGGGTACCAATTCCTTTTGGGGTGTCTGGTTGGATTGCCGGGTAGTGATGCTAACTCATTGATAAGTTCATAGGTTGAGATTATTTTGTTATGCAGTTTGGCATAAAAGTGATTGTAGTAAAAAGCTGCAGCTACATTGACAGAAGGCAATTTGAGGTCCGAATTTAGGAACTGATTTGAGACAAATCAGGGTGCATCAGTAGATCGAAGTTAGAGACAATTCCTTGAAATCTGTAGATCAGTTAATATAGTATTACTAGATAAATACAAAGTATATATAGGTAATCTCTAATAAATTAAATACTAAATGATAATTTAGTGTCTTTTAACCTAGTTTCATCAATATAAACCTGTCCAATAAACAATATTTTGTGCAATAACATGGTTGCCACAATTTTCAAGTTGACAAATTCCTGACTTTTTCATGTTTTATATTTTTTAATTTTCATACACTTCAAAATTAAATTTCAATATTAGTTAAAATTTAAAACAAATTGATGAAATATATTAGAAATCCTACCATATATTAACTACTTACTTGTTTTATTTTTTTAAACATAATGAGAAAATTATAAAAATAATAACAATAACAAAAAATAGAATTTAAATATAATATAAAAGCATAACAGTTAGTTAGGGAGTTAAATAATTACAACAAGGTGCGATTCCATGACACTGAATGATTATTTAAAATAATAAAAAACTTAATAATAACAAAAAACAAATAAAATCTGTTGCCAATGACAACCTTATTTTTTATCTTTCAATCTTGTTTAACCTAAAAAAAACAGGTTTTCCTCATTATCTCAAATATTAATTAAAATTTCAAAAAATTACTTCTCCAAAGTACTACTCAGAGAATATTTCCTTTCAGACAAGATGCTATACTTGATAATCAGAGTAAGCTTCCTGGTAGAAAGTGTTCACATAAAAATATATTATATTATACTATGACTTTGCTATCTGAGTTATTTGTTTTTTTTTAAAAATTATGCTGTATATTGTATTAAGTATTAATCAAAAGCGATTTATTTTTTGTTTTATTATATATGATATTTTAGTTTTCATGCTAGCATATACCTATATAGTAAAATATTTACTTTTAATACAAACTGGCTTATGTTTTGATAGAACTAATCAATGGCAAACTAATTTATAAACATGGCATCTCAATTGCAATTTACTGCCAAATGATATGCTTGGACATTAAATGTGGCTGTCTTTTTGAAAAAAATTGATAAACTCAAGTTAAAATTCAATATCATGTAGATAATTCAGTACCTTTCTTTGCAAAAATTGGCTAAATGATTTAAAAATTAATATTTTTATTTCAAATTTAGATTACTTTTTGTTCAATTTTGTCAAAAATTACATGTGTGATTCATTAACTATTTATGTTTATGATATCACTTTGACGCCTTATTTCTACATAAATACGAATGAAATAAGGCATTTAAATATATTTGTTTTATAAACCTGTTTTTTTTTTTCACTTTTTGGGGTGAAATAGTATTGCATAATGAATAAGCTGCTTAATGGCAGTAAATCTTATTTCTTTACTTGCTAAATCATATACAAATTTTACTAAATATTCGAAAAATTGGAACAGATATAAAATTATTATCATATAATAAAAATTCCATGTGGGATATTTTAGTAGTTGACCAACAACTATTCAGTTGTAAATAGTGAGAACAATATGTATAATAAAATATGTCATTTATAGTAAGGATACTACAATCAAAATAATTATACCAAAATAAATAAAGCTGCATTAATTAATTCAAACAAATATTATATTGTATGCCAATAAAAAGATCGGTAAATTAAATAGGTATTAAAGGAAATCCAAGTACTATAACAAATGGCAAAAACATGATCAATTTGAAAAGGTAACAATAAATATAATAAGGCTATAACATAGACTATATAACATTTAAATCAAATTCAATCTTCTATTAAGATGTTTTTGATAAATATAAAATTTACAAAAATATGATCTATTTATCTAAAATTGACCTTATTTACTAATAAAACATTTATTTCAAATTTGTTGTGTTATTTTGCTCTATATTTGTATAGTCATTATTATTGTAAGTAAAAGTTAAATAATAAATTTAAATATTTGTATGGTGTATTTACTAAGCTAACTATATTATAAATTTAATTGTTGTGTACAAATTATTAATGTACAAAAAAAATTTGCTTTAAATTCATTAGTTAAATAGTATGTACAAATAATTTGAATGGTCATTTTTGATTTATTTGGTTTTTTTTTAAATTCAAAATATTTTTTAAATACTTTTGAAAATTGTATAATTATAAATTTTACAGATTTCTATTGTTGTACAACCAACATACCTAATTGTATTTTTAAAATGGTAAACTGTATATAATCCGGTTCTACCCACTTTTTGCTTCAGAGGAATTTATTCAATAAATGCCACCAATAAAATTGCCTATGTTAAATATATTATTTTTTCCAATTCAGAAAAGAATTTCTTATAAAAATATATTTACCTATATATAATAACTAAAATATTGTGTTATGATAAATGTTAATAATTGTGAGTTTCTTTGTCATAATAACCAATATCCATGATGTTAGGATTGATACATTATTACACAGCTTTGACCAATATCAATGATGTTTCTACTTTAGAACAGATTCTGTTGCACCATGATGATTTACAATCCAGTGAAATATATTCTGTTAGCTATAGTAATTTAAAAAAAATAAAGTTCAAAATTATGATTACCAGGATCAAATTGACCTACCAGGATACTGAGAATATGGACCTTTCCCCACATAAGCCCTTTAGCATTCTTTGCTAATAGATCCCATTAAATTATGCATTTTCAGATTTTTTCATTATTATAGTTTAGTATATAAGTCAAGTAACTAAAAATGTTTAATGGATAATCACTTTTAAAAAAAATTATGGAAGAGTTATTGTGTTGAAGCAGTTATTTCATGTGTAACAAAACTAGTGAAATCTTAAGAAAGTTAACATTATGACTTTAGATTAGTAATTTTTCTGCCTGTAAACCTTCGACCAGAAATTTTACGCTTTTCCTGAAATCAACTTGAGGGAATGATTTTTTGTGCCTGTATCATCCTTATAAAATAATTTCCCCTCCTCCTATATACAAAAATGGAGCCAGTACATACCAAATTATTAACGAGTTACTGAAAAAAATATGAGTAACTTTTAATTTAACTTAACTTTATTATTTTAAAATAACTTAACTTAATGAGTTAAAAAAAATCATTATCTTGCCCAGCCTTGCCTAATAAGAATAATTACAAATATTAAAAAATACCAGTACCTACTTTTGGTTGAGCAGTTTCAATTTTTTTAAACAATTTATTATCATTCTATGACAGCTAGTTCATGCCACCAAATTATAGACAGTAACTACTAATAGTCATGAATGTCAAAAAGACTTAACTGTAATATCAAGTGTATTTTAGTTTCTTTACACACAAAAATGACATATTTAAATAATTTATAATTACAAGAATCAGAATGACTTGTAGATGAATTTCGGTAATCATAATTGGATGGTCTGAAAACCACTTGTTTCAAGCGACCTTATAAATAGTTGTAATATTCCAATATTGTTGGTCCCTTTGTGTAGCTCCTATCAATATCCTGTTGATCGCTGTGTTATTTCTAGAAAATACAAAAATTTTGTATAACTGTCTCCTAGTGGTCATTTTACAAATGATATATAATATTATAAACAAGTTACACTATTGGTAAATAAAGTTAGTTCTATTTTATAAGGGTTTTTTTCTCTTTTGTTAAAACAATTATCTGAATACCAGATCTGGATTAAGGTGTACAGTGAAAGCTTAATGTCAGTAAAGTTGTGCCGACACAACCACTAATGGGTTATAATTAGTTTATAATTATTTTATGGACATATAATTTCAGTGTGTATTATTATTTCAAAATTATATTATCAAACAATTATTAGGTTAAATTATTTAACTATCTGTCATTATCTGTATATATTCGGAACATAGAATGTTTGAGTTATCTACAGGTTTAATTTTTAAATGATTGATGTTTTCACAATGCATTTATTTTGACTTTATTTATTTTACATTTTTTACATTTTTTACAATTTTGTTTTGGTTTTTTAAATACGTGGACGCCTGTTGACTACCTTTATCTCCTGCCCTAAATGATTTTTATTAAAATAATACCTAATATATATTTCATTATAATATTACATTGAAATGTATTCAAGCTGAACAGTTTAGCTTCTATTTTATTTCCATAAATCCTAATTTGTAATACAAAAATATATTTTAGAATTTGAATATTTTGGGTGTAAATATAACCCATAATAATAAAAATAAAAATAAATTTAGGTATAATTTTACATTTTTCCAATCAAAGTAAACGAAATAGTTTCATCTACTGTAAAGTTTGGCAATGAATGGATCATTATCTTGATCCCAGGAACCCAGGTCAACTCTACGCACAGTTCTGATATCTTTTTAATCGTTCATAATTAGGTGATATTGTTATTAAACTACAATAATTTGTAAATGAATTAGTAAAAAAAATTGAAATGTTTATGTTATACTAAATATATTACACAATGGCCCATCATTTGTTGGAATGTTTTGATGGACAATCCAATCTATATTATCTTACAGCTAAAACAAAAACGAGACATTTAAAACTTTCATATTTCAATAGGTAATGAATGTATATAAGTAGTATAAAACGACTTCTGACTTTTGAGTATGTAAATATTATGTTAAATAACTTAGAAATAATTTCACACGAATAGATGACAAATTGAAAATCATAAATTCTTAACACAAATAATGTTTTTTTTTTTCAATAATAATGATTGTAACAACATTGATAAAAGATAATGATTTAACAATCTCATGATAAAATTAAATCCAAATTCTTTTGGAAGAAATTAAGGGCAAATTTATGTAAAAAATGTATGACATTGTTTTTCATCAAGTTAAAATAAATCATATCATAAAAAACATAAAACACTTAGTATTTTTTTTTTTTTTTTTTTAATTCAACAAGACATGTTATTTATTTATTTAGTTAACATAATATTAAGTATGTACATTGTATATATTTTGAGTTTCTCAGTTTGTTGAAAGTTTGGTGAGAGACAAACGGGAAGTAGGTACAAACATACGCACACCCAAAACAAAATGTTTGATTTAAACCACACATTAAAGTAAAACAGTATAACCCAATATATTTCTCGCTGCTCTCTGAATCTTAAATAGAAAAAAAAAACACATAGATACAGACATATGTATGATAGTAATACCAATACCTACATTCTTAATATTGAAAAAACATTGGTTTTTGATCAGTTATTAAAAATATTAAGTACTTAAGTAACAGAATTAACTTAAGTTACTTAAGCAAACATTGTTTATTGCACAAAATGTATGCCGTCTATGTATACAGGCCTAGGGTTGGTACCTATTTATTTTTTATTTATTTTGTTTTGTTCACTCGCAGGAGTTGGGACACACAATTTTAGTTTCGTTGCGTAGCGAGGAATGTATTGGTTTTAGTTTTTTTTTTTTTTTATACCTGTGAACAACTTTTCTACCAGAAATCTTGCTCCGATTTTATATGTAGTACCTTTTCTGAAAGTAAATTTCATCCGTGTAGTACTCTAGGGAGGTCGTTTTTTGATTTTCCAAGGGGTTTTCAATATAATTGGGAAAAACTGAAAAGAAAAGTATAGGTAAAACTGCAAATATTTACGGTGCGCCGCGGCATTTCCGGTTTAATTGTTTTTATTAAGTTAACACGATATTTTCTACCAGCAATATTGCTCAAACAAAAAACCATCAAAATATCTTTTTTGTTGAATTTTTAATCTAGGTGGTGAACAAGAAAGTTTTGATTTTCTTTATAGTTTATTTAATAATTGAACAAAACCGGAAAAAAATGTAGAAATAACGGGCAATTTTATGAAAACAATGCTTTTAATTTTTTCAATTACGTTATTCAATGTAATTTAATATATTCATAAAGACTTGACATTTTAACAGAAAACTAAACTATTTGCTTTTTCTAGACGTTGTAAAATTTTAAAAATATTTGATCCATTTTTGAGCTAATTATAGACATTTTGATTTTGTATGTAATTTTTATTCGGTAGGTACTCCATGGATAAAATTGTTAGACTCAACAGAAATGCATGAAAATTTAACAGGTTTCTAAAATGTCGCACTTTATGATAAAAAAAAAAAATGAGCTACTAAATATAGGTATTTTTTTTTTTTTTTGAAAAAGTTCAGTATCAAATTTTAACGAATATCGTTTTGAATAAAAAATTTTGTTGAACAAATCGAGCCCACGCAAATTTTTTAATTTTTTCTTTGTTTTGGTCACGCATATGTTTATTGCCGATTTAAGAACGAGAATTCAGTGAATACGAGAACTCGGAATAAATTTGGCGGACTGACTTAGTTTCGAGATCAAAGCTTTTTGAATTTCTAATGTCATGCGGATGTTTCATGTGTCATGTTAAATAACTCAATATTGTCATTTGTTGATTTTATAGTATCTTTGCATATGTCGTAATCTAGTGGTCGTATCTTAATGTACCTAATATCATCCTAGGGGTCGCGAGTTCAAATCCGATTCCAAAAATTTATTTTTGCAAAACTACGTCATGTAGGTGTAACAGGGAAAAAAATGTATTTTGTTACAAAAACATAAAATTGAATGTAATGTAGTAATATTATTATTATTATTTTTTTTTGTTATAAGAGTTAAACTCAAATTTTGACGAAAATCGTAAATATACCTTTTATACCTTTTGACGATTTATTGTGGATTACAGGTATAAATTAAATAACTTTATGTATTCAACCTTCCCCACTACTCATCTACAACAGTGGCCGCACCCGTCTCCAGTATACTTATCATTTTTTTTACAACACGATTTTTTCACTTTTTAAATACGTCTTTACAGTAGACGATACACTGACAACACTGATATAACATATGCTTCATGCATACCTAGATAATAAATAATTATTTTATGTTTGTACCTATTTCCTATACAGGTGTAGGTAATATAGGTAATATTATAGGTATTTCCTGTACATTACACAATAAGGTAAATAGGTAGGATTATATAGAATAACTGAGCATTATTAGTTATTGTATTTGATTACATTTTATTTTAGACACTACAAACAAAACCGGGACTTTCTTGTCCCGCTCGCTTATATGGCGGAAGATGAGACAAAAATAGAAAAAAAGGCTGAAAAAGCGACATAGTCGTCCCGCCAAGCATTGATATGGGACAAGTTATTATTACATTTTTAAATTGAAATATTGTTTCATAAATAAAATATTATTATTATTAAGTATATTAAAAATCGTAAATGTACAATTTACCGGTTATTGTAAAGGTACATTGAATAAATACATGTTGTTGAAAATTTACAGGGGGAGTGAATGGAATTCCAAGTAGGGCATTTGCCCGCCCCCCACCGAAGTGTACCTGCATTTAACACTGAGTGTGCCGTATAGAAAACAGACTGTTGTTCCTTGTTATTTCCATTATAAGCTTATAGGTAGCTAAGAACTACGGAGCATATAAATTGCGCAGCGTTTGAACGGTGCTATTTTCTTGTTTAGAAAAAATAGATGGGAATTTTCGTAAAATATTTTAATTTTGAAAATCGTTTAAAAATCGTAAATTTTGTACGCGAACCGATACCTATAGGGCGTATATAACAACATTGTCTAGACACATTGGATATCCACCATTGTTTTCAGGGCTTTATTGACGGCGTGCAGCAACGATTCGGCCCGATCTCTGTCTTCGATGGCGTGCGCTTCTTCGGTCAGCACTTGTTCGATGGACCGGCTGACCACGTAAGGCGTGAACACGTATTCGCACATATAGTGATCAATATTGTTCAACACATAATTTACCATTTTGTATATTATACGTTTGGGTACAAAGTCTCGCACGTTCTTCCGCACGAACTCGAAATAACAATGCGTCAGATTCCGATGCATTTTTACCTGTTTAGACGATTCCAGCGTTTCATCCAGATCGTCGAGACCCGACAATATTTGCTTGAACAATTGTTTCGTTCTCTCTTCTTCGGCCCTGATAAATTCGTCGTTGGTCAAGCCTTTTTTGTTCGTCACGTGCGTCGATATAAACGCGTCTTGGATCACGTCGGACGATTTGACCAGTTCCAATATGAAATCCGGATTCGTGGTGTTTAAGCACGCTTGATAGGTTTCAATGTACGATTTTATAAATTCTTTAATGTTCGTCAACGTGTTTTCCAACATTTGGGCCAGCACTTGCCTCACCTAAAAAATCGTTAAATATTATTTTTATTTACCTATTTTCAGTTATGTGTACCTATATTATACTCAGTTCTAGGTACACAGTGCTGGCGTTACACATTTTGATTCCAGTGACAGTCCGATAGATTTCGGGGCCCGGTGCAGAACTTTGCGGGGTCCCATTTCTATTTATATAAATGTATCTATATATTTTATTTATTTTATTTTCTAACGGACTTCCTTTATTTTCATATAATTGTATAAACTTTAAGGTCTTTTTGGAAATCTAAATTTGTATATCCATTTAGGTGTGTTTCCTTAGGATGCGTCTAATCACGCGCGATTGACGCAGCGCGACTCTAATTTTGGCTGCGCTGAGATTTATTTACCTATTTTTAGATGTAACCGATTCCCAACACCGCGGCTGTCATGCGGCTATCGCGTGCGTGTTTTCAAAATTCAACATGTCATCAAAAATAATATTTTCATCTAAAGTCGACACAAGATTAACAGAACTAGTAAGATACCACCCTTAACATTACACCTAATTTCTTCACCGGTGAAATAGGCTCTCTCACTGTTGTGAGATTTCATTTTATGTCCTCTTCAATTAAGTTTAAAACATAATTAAATTGTTCTCAACAAAATCTGAAAAATTCTCGGAATTTTTCTCTTCTATAATTAAATGTTTCTCGTTAAAAATACAAAAAAATTCATCTTCTTTTCTGTATTGAAACATATGAGCTTTTTTTCCATATAATTTGATCAATAATTTCTACTTCTTTTATTTCTTTTAATAGCAGTTTAATCAAAACTATGTTTTTTTGCTGACGAAACATTGTTCAAAATTAAATAAACAATTATGATCAATGCAACGTACTAAAATTAAATGATTTAAAACCAAAATGTGTCCTAGGATCGGCATTGGCTGGCGCCCTGGGTGGAACCATGTTTTAGCATCTTTCCTCCAATTAATCGAGTTCAGTTGTTATCGATGAGGTATCCCCCCCTCTTTACAGTAGACGCCCTAGGCGTAGGCCTTGATCGTCCACCCCTAACATCGGTCCTGTAGGTTCATATAGAATAGGATGGTGCTTAAAGTTCAACTTTTGCTGTATAGGTATACAACCCTCACTACCAGAGCCTAAACAAATTGACCGATTTAAACGTAATATTATAAGTTGTACACGAATTCGTTTATGACAAGGGGGAAGCCAGGACAAAAAAACGGGGGGGGGAGGTCATTTTTAAAATTCATATAAGGCATGCATCATTTATGATGAAAATCAAACTCAGTATATATAGTAGATTTTGACCAACGCTTCTATCGCCCTTTCCCTAAATTTGATATTGCGCTAAGATCTGGTGAATTTTATAGACTAGGTATAGTCAAAGAAAGTATTATACAGATATAAGTGATAAAATATGGTATATATAAGTATATAGAACTTTATTACCAATATTAATATTCTCATAAATGTATTTTGTGACATTATACAAAGCATGATTTTCCATAGGTAGATAATCCCTTTATAAAGCCAAACTGATTAGGTATTATTAAAAGAAATTGTCCATATCTAAACATTTTATTTATTTATTTTTTAAACATCTTTTAAAGATTTTACTAATTGATAATGTCAAAGCAATTGCTATGTAATTTTTGCATAACTTTATGTAACCATTGTTAAATAATGGGATAATTAGAGATTTTTTAAAAATATATTAGGGAATATTCCAAATGAAAAACATTTATTAAACCTAATCGATCAAGGAAATGATATAACATCACGTGTATTCCTGAGAATTTTATTAGTAATAAAATTCATATTACAGTTGGTATTTTTTTAAAATACCAACTGTAATATGAGAAAATGTATTATTTCACCTTTTTTATATACCCACCAAGGTTAATACTGATCCAATCTAATTTCAAAAACCTATTTTTTTTATATCCTCAGAAATATTAATACCTACCTACCCAAGAGAAATATTTATTAAATTGGTTTGCTTCAAAATGCTAATCTTATCCTTAATGATAGAATCATTACTAAGTATAATTTCATTGATATTACAAGGTTTTTCTTTATTTTTGTAGATTGCACTGTTTATAAGTTTAGCGCAATTGGTGATCTATAATCAGTAAGATTACTCAATTTGTGCACAAAAAAACACGCGTAAATTGAACTGCCGCATATAGTGCTCAGTATATAAAGTATTGTAAAGTTTGAACGACACTAAAATCCAAACATTGGCCACCAGTCGTCCTACAATCGAGTCTCTAATTTTGTGAAACGTACTATTGTAAATGTTATACAGCAGGTACTAGTGTAGTTCAACTATTTAAATTACTGAAATCATATTTTTATATAATTCTAGTAAAATTCTGACAAAATTTAATAACATCTGCATTAATTAATCATTTACCAATATTATTAAGGTTTTTATTTTTACCATCCATTATTGATTTGTAGCCTCTATTTATATAGGTACTAGGTAGATATCTAATGTCTACTTACATCTGTATTCAATTTTGGAAATCGTTTAAGCGTGTCCAAGAAATTTTGATCAATGGAATCAAAAATCGTTAACATCTCCGCGCATACGAGGTCTACACAAACCATAGCCGGTTCGATTAGATTTTCTAATTGTCTTCCGACCATTTTTTCTAATGCCTTCTCGTTGACAAATGAACTTTTTTTAGTACCAGAAGAATTTAACAGAATGTTACCGATATTTTCGTCAGTAAGATCGAGTAACGGATCAATTTTAGACAATTTATCGACGTATTCTTGATTTATGATTTGAGAAATTTTTGCACCTCCTTCGAGTGCATTTTCCGACACATCTTTACGATTTCCATTAACCGTGTCACAGTACGATCTACAAATGTCCTTTAACAGGCCTAATACAAAGGACACCTTTTGGTCCGGCGTTTGTAATACTTTCAATTCGTTTTCTAACCGCGCCTTGGTTTCATACAATTCTTTTCGTAACACAGGATACGTTTTTTTTATATGCATCATTAATATATTCTGCAAAGTCTCGGCCAACACTTTATTACCGTGTTTCTTGCTAATTTCCGGGTAGTTGATCTTTAAAAATTCTTTCTCGGCTTTCAACGTTTCCTTCATGCTTTTCTTGTCGTTAATATCCTTTTGACTTCGGTTGACCACACCAATTATACCCATTAGTTTAATGGGTATTTTGTGACCGTTAAGCAATTCTGCCGTATCTTCGATTGTACCTTTGTCGATCAGGTCTAACTTAGTCACTACTGCAACCGTCCTGGCACCTACTGGGTCAATTTGTCTGGCTATTTTAAGACTCTCGCAAGTAGACGGATCTGTGTTGGCAGTAACTATCGCTAATATAATCGAATTTGGCTGTTGAACATATTTCATTATTAAACATTGGATTTGCTCGTCTATGTCGTCTGGTTGGTCACCAACAGGGAGTTTAGTAATGCCAGGCAAGTCGACGAAAGTGAGATCATATAGTTGTGTGTAAACTTTCAATACTATAGATTCATGAGTTACTCCTTTATTTTTGCCGGCGAGAATATCCGTTCTGTTTTCGATTTCGACGCGAACATCGTCGAAATTATGAAAAACATAGTCGGGTTTATGTAAAAAACACGCCCATTCTTTAATTTTATCGTTTTTTGTTATTTCCAACATCTTATCTCGTTCCTCTTTACTGTACCTGATCATTTGAAGAATTAATGGAGCACGTGTGACAATACCACTACCCCGTGGTAAAAACGATTTTCCCACCAAACTCTCGAGCACTGAACTCTTCCCGGAACTCTGAGATCCTACGACAACGATCTGCGGCAAATCGATTTTATGTTCGCCGACCGCCACAAATACATCTTGTAATTTGTTTATTGTATGAATTAACGTTTCCATTATTTTTGTGTGCAACTTGTGTAACGTATAAAAAAAAAAACTTTAAAAAATGTGTAATTTGTGTAAGTATAACAATAAAATTATAATTTTTATTATTTTTCAATAATTTATTTTCAATATGGGTAATTTATTAATCTAAATATTAACCATGGTTACGACGTGCATTTCGAAAAACAACTATATAGATAAAGCCTAAGAATTTTTAATTACAGGGCACATACAAATTTCCCTCCTCTGAAGATTATTATTTAAAATCATGCAAATTTTACCATCCTTGAAAATTATAAGTTAAACATTTTAGTTAATGTTAAATTTTTCACTTAGATGTTTAAAATACCTAACTATTTGTTTCATGAATATCTATATAAATAAAAAAAAGTGTTAGTTACACCGTTTATAACTTAAGATCGACTGGATCGAATTTTATTATCTCTGATTTGTTGGATTCATCTCCACCCCGAGTAGCAGAATAACTATTTAAATAATGGAAAGATTCACATAAAAAAAATTATAGGGATTTTTAGGTATATTTGGTACAAATATCTAATTGCCTATTTATTTATTTTTATTTGTTCAAAGATTGCTATGGAGAAGAAAACTATTATAATTATTATTACTATTATTTACACTATTAAAATTTTACATTAAAATACATTTAGTCGCCCAAGACGGACTACCCACATTCCACCTATTTGTTTTCATTCAATTCTGACATCATGGTCAAAACCAAAAATAAATATTTTGGGTAAAATAATAATAGTAAAAATTGGCACGGGCAACACCAGGAGTAGGACAGCTAGTTATATTATATAACTTAAAATGATATACTTTTGTAACACACTATCATAGTATTTTCCAACTTATTTTACTCGCTAAACCTTTTCATGAAATTCAATATTTTTCGGAATCCTATTTTTTAAATTTTTTTTTATAACCACATAACGTAGACATATTTTTTTGAATACTCAAATGAGTGGGCAGTCCGAGACTTCCAACAAAACAGTGAGTGTCGTTAACAAAAAAATAACAACAGCAAAGACTGTTTTTAAGTTTTTTTTTTTAATACCTATATTACAATATTATTAATGTACATAATATCAGAGCTTAGAAGAAATTAATATTAATCTTTCATTACCTCAAAGATAGATTTAATGAGAATATTGGAATCTTTCCATAGTTTTTATCATTATTGTAATCAAATTCGAGGTTATTTCTGAAAGCTGGATTCCCAAGTCGGGCATAAGGCTTTTTTTTGGTGAATAGCCAAATGTAACCAGATTACTATATTGTATAAACAAGTCGTTTTGGCGATTTTGGTTTTTACTTTGGTTATAAGTTACTGACATATAACCAAACGAAATCAACGGTTATGATTAGAGCCCGGATTTATATGCATTTAAAAAGTGTCAAATATGATGCAAATATGCAAAGG